TAAAACAAGGTTTGAAGTACAGAATGAACACAAACAATTGTCACTGAACTGTTTTTAAACTGGATTTAAACATTGTCAGAGAAGAGGCCTGTCTCACATTTTCAGGAAAACTTCTCCAGGTTAGAGCTGTGTGAAAAACTGCCTCCCCATGTTTAGTTCTGACTCTGGGCACTAACAGGAGGCCAGTCCCTGTGCTCCTCAGAGTCCCAGCAGGAGGCCAGTCCCTGTGCTCCTCAGAATCCCAGCAGGAGGCCAGTCCCTATGCTCCTCAGAATCCCAGCAGGAGGCCTGTCCCTGTGCTCCTCAGAGTCCCAGCAGGAGGCCAGTCCCTGTGCTCCTCAGAGTCCCAGCAGGAGGCCAGTCCCTGTGCTCCTCAGAGTCCCAGCAGGAGGCCAGTCCCTGTGCTCCTCAGAGTCCCAGCAGGAGGCCTGTCCCTGTGCTCTCCATAGTCTCAGCAGGAGGCCAGTCCCTGTGCTCCTCAGAGTCCCAGCTGGAGGCCAGTCCCTGTGGTTCATATGGGACTAACATGAGCCACGGGACGGAAACATACATTCATAACATACACAAATGAGCAACTGAGTCCAGTTTTTCATAGGTTTGAGAAATTTCATGTTTTAAAGCGTTTCTTTTCCTCGAGTTCAGGTTTTGTGCGAACTGTTTTTGTGCAGCAGTGATCAGTTGTTCAGAGCGTTACAGGTGAACAAACATAATCAGGCAATTTGTTCAACAACTCCTTCATAAATAAACTGAATACAATGTTTCTCTCTTCGAACCAAACCTCGAAGGCCAACCTACGTTTGACAGAGTTACAGAGATGCGATTTGTGCTATCTCCTGTGAGCCACTGAAACTGAAACCACACATTCATTCCTTTGTAATTTTTTAAAAATCTTTAGGACATGCTAAAACTGGTTAATATAACTTAAATGCAGCAAAACTAAATACTAGCTGATGCAAGTAAACAGTGTGTTGCTATGGTAACTAGCACTTGCTCAAAGCTGAGATAACTTCACAAACATAATAATAAACTACAAAGTCAGTCAAGTTACGAAGACCAAAAATTTAGAGTAATTATACTTCCAAAAGGAAAAGCTGTCAAATTGACTTCCCTATGAGTTTAATTAAAACAGAATAGAATACTTTTAAACAGTGTTAACGTCACCCAGTTTTTAAAAAGTAAATTTTTGTGGTGTGTGAAGGGGTTGGATTCCACCTCCAGGCCTTTCTGTGTGGAGTTTGCATGTTTCTTCCTGTGTGGTTTCCTCCAGGTGCTCCGTGTTCCCCACCACTAAAAACATGTACAATAGGTCTGATGTAAATGAGAGAATGGATGTTGTTTGGCGTCTTGCTTCGGCCGTCACCGTGTGTGAAAAATATCTGAACTCTGAACATTGTAAAGTGCTTTGGGTGATCTTGGTCTGTAAAATGCACTTTATAGATAGATAGATATTTTATTGATCCCTGTAGGAGAAACTCAGGTGTCCAGTAGCAGCAAAAATACAAAATAAAATTGATAACTCTAAAAAAGATAATAATAGTAATAATCAGCAACAGACCTTCAGGTCACAGCAGCAGAGGTGGAGTAGCCTCTGGGTGGAGCAGGACGGGTCACAGCAGCAGAGGTGGAGTAGCCTCTGGGTGGAGGACGGGTCACAGCAGCAGAGGTGGAGCAGGACAGGTCACAGCAGCAGAGGTGGAGCAGGACAGGTCACAGCAGCAGAGGTGGAGTAGCCTCTGGGTGGAGCAGGACAGGTCACAGCAGCAGAGGTGGAGTAGCCTCTGGGTGGAGCAGGACGGGTCACAGCAGCAGAGGTGGAGTAGCCTCTGGGTGGAGCAGGACAGGTCACAGCAGCAGAGGTGGAGTAGCCTCTGGGTGGAGCAGGACGGGTCACAGCAGCAGAGGTGGAGAAGCCTCTGGGTGGAGCAGGACGGGTCACAGCAGCAGAGGTGGAGAAGCCTCTGGGTGGAGCAGGACGGGTCACAGCAGCAGAGGTGGAGTAGCCTCTTGGTTCGGACCATTTTCTGAGAAAGGGCAGGCTCCTTTTGTGGCACCGGCACCTGCCACAGCTGATCAGTGGCATGTACACAACAAGTGGCGTTTAAAACGGCATGTGGGGAATAAATGGCGTGTAAAGCGGCATGTGGGGAATAAATGGTGTTTAAAACGGCATGTGGACAACAAGTGGCGTTTAAAACGGCATGTGGACAACAAGTGGCGTGTAAAACGGCATGTGGACAACAAGTGGCGTTTAAAACGGCATGTGGGGAATAAATGCCGTTTAAAACGGCATGTGGACAACAAGTGGCGTTTAAAACGGCATGTGGACAATAAATGGCATTTAATACGGCATGTGGGCAATAAATGGCGTTTAAAACAAATACAGTTGAAAGCAGCCTGTACAAAAGACAACAAGCAGCAGAATTAGTGATAGTGGTCCAGTGGCTCAGATGGAAAAGCACAGGTCTACGGTGTTGATGGTTGCTAGTTCAAATCCCCAGTGACTACCAATGACATTTGCTGATGTTGGGTCCTTGGGCATAACACTTCATGAAGAATGTCACAAGTGCCATAAGTTGTTTGAAAAATGTAGTTTGAGTTATAATAAATTAAATTTAAAATTTGTTAAAAGACTTAATTTCATGAATTATATGTGGTTTAGATTCCGAAGAACTGTATATTCCTGTGGCGCACGCGAGAGGTACCTGGTTCAATCCTAGGTCTGGTCTTTATTTTTTTTTTGTCAGATTAAATACAAATTGAATATGTATGAATATATATTTCATACATATGGTTATGTGTTGTTCCAATAGTAATCTTGCATTAGGATTAATATTGCATCATTGTTAGGGTAAAACTAAATGATGTGTAAAACACACAAGACACAATTTTACTTAAAACCACCTGGTGAGTGGTATAGTTGGTGTGTGTCCGCCAATCATGCAAGAGTTCGCAGATTCAAATCCAGCCAAGATCAAAAACTTTTTTATGACGGTTATTTCTTTATACATATATATATCTATAAATATCTATATATATATCTTTATATATATATATATACAGTTTTTATATAACTGCCATTAAAAAAAAAAAAAACGGTACTTTGATTCGATCTGCCAATCTCACGCACTATAGACGAATGTTTAATGACTGCGCCACTTATTTTGTGTTTTGGCAAAGAAAAAACCGAAAGGTTCTATTGTTGTTTTAGGACATTTCATCAAGAATGGAGCCAACCAAAGATGGTGAAGAGTGATGGATTGAAAAACACAAGCAGAAAGTTGTGTAATTGGAACATGAGGTTTCATCTCTATATTGTTAAAATCTTCATTTCTGTTCTTGGACCGTTTAAGCTGTGTCTTATACTTTGCATTCTTTAAAAAAAAATATATGTATTAATGCTCTTTCTTATTGTTCCATGTTTCTGATGTGGTTTTATTAAAGAAGAGAGAGAAATAAAATGATTTTTTCTTTTGTTTTATTTTATATATATATATATAATATATATATATATATATATATATATATATATATATATATATATATATATATATATATATATATATATATATATATATATATATATATATATATATATATATATATATATATATATATATATATATATATGTCATACATATTCAATTTGTATTTAATCTGACAAAGAAAAAATAATGACCTGTCCTGGATTTGAACCAGGTATCTTCCGCATGAGAGGCAGTTATAAACCAAGTGCGCCACTGGATGACGCAGGTGAAATGGAATTTAAACTATATATAATACATGAAATTAAGTCTTTCAACAAATTTATGCAATAACATATATTATTATTACTCAAACAATATTTTTCAAACAATTTAAGGCACTTCTGACATTCTTCATGAAGTGTAAGGCCCAAGGACCGAACATCAGCAAATGTCATTGGTAGTCACTGGGGATTTGAACTAGCAACCATCAACACGTAGACCTGTGCTTTTCCATCTGAGCCACTGAACCACTAGCTCCAGTAATGCTGCTTGTTGTCTTTTGTACAGGCTGCTTTCAACTGTATTTGTTGCCCACATGCTGTTTTAAACGCCACTTGTTGTCCACATGCCGCTTTACACGCCATTTATTCCCCACATGCCGCTTTACACGCCACTTGTTGCCCACATGCCGCTTTACACGCCATTTATTCCCCACATGCCGCTTTACACGCCACTTGTTGCCCACATGCCGCTTTACACGCCATTTATTCCCCACATGCCGTTGTAAACGCCACTTGTTGTCCACATGCCGCTTTACACGCCATTTATTCCCCACATGCCGTTTTAAACGCCACTTGTTGTCACATGCCACTAATCAGCTGTGGCAGGCCCGGTGCCCCAAAGGAGCCTGCCCTTAAACTGCATTTTCTCTGCTCTGGTCTGGACCAGTGTAAAACCATGAATCCTCTCTGCTCTGGTCTGGACCAGTGTAAAACCATGAATCCTCTCTGCTCTGGTCTGGACAGTGTAAACCATGAATCCTCTCTGCTCTGGTCTGGACCAGTGTAAAACATGAAACCTCTCTGCTTGGTCTGGACCAGTGTAAAACCATGAATCCTCTCTGCTCTGGTCTGGACCAGTGTAAAACCATGAATCCTCTCTGCTCTGGTCTGGACCGTGCAAAACCATGAATCCTCCTGCTCTGGTCTGGACCAGTGTAAAACCATGAATCCTCTCTGCTCTGGTCTGGACCAGTGTAAAACCATGAACACTGAACTGCAGCAACATCTCAGGCATAAAAAAGCAAGAAAAAAAGCCCAAAACAACTGTTTCAGAGCTACTTAGAACCTGCTGCTGTTTTCCAGTGCATTCAAAAGTAAAACAAATAGTAAATAAACCAAAAGTAATAAACATTACTTACTTACTATTCTCGTACATAACACAGCATCAGGCATGTGTGAGAACGCCTCTATCATAATACAATCTGTTCGAGGTTTGACAATGCTTTGATAATGACGTACGTATATCTGCTTTCAGTCGGGTCTGATCCGGATTCGTCAAGAAGAGTTCTTGATCTCCCCGCTCCCGGAGCACTTGGCTCAAAAGCACAAGCACAATGCCCCGGAAGGACACCACCCTCATGTGGTCTACAAACGCTCGGCTGAACACGTCATACACGGCAGATCTGCTGAACCATCCGCCGCCAATTCTCCGTCATCCAACAATGTGCTTCGCCCTGACCACCACCACAACCACACAGACAGGATGCACTTCTGTGGACGCCGCAAGCAATGTATGTAAGGGAACATTTTATACCTCAAATTCACTTTTATGACTGTAATGTCAAATGTCATGTCTCTGCGAGCAAATGTTTCTCCTCAGTCAGCACCAACATCAACACGCTGTGGAAAAGCTTTTTGGCCGATGTCCACAAAGCAGACAGTTCCTACATATTTAAACCATATGTGAGATTTAAGATGTTAGTTTTTCTGATATATGTTGTTATACTTGATAACTGAAAAAGTCGGCCCATAAGACGTATGATTGTGATACATTACCCGTTACAAGATTAGAGTCTAGTTCAAGATTCAAGAGTGCACTGGAATAAACTGGTAGAATGTTCATTTTAAAGAAATCATTGATATTAAGTTCAGAAATCAACTTTAAACGACGCTGTATTCTGTTCCTGGGTTTTGGCAGATGCACGGCTTGACTTTCCCTGTTTAGCAGAGCAACTAGGAAAATGTAGGGAGTGAATTTCCTGGCCTTTCGACACTCCAGCTGATTTCTTATCACACGGCACGAGCCAGACATTAACTCTCCCACGGATGTGTGGCCTAAAGTCTTTTATCAGCCTATACTTGCATTGGACATCATCATTTTGCAGATGCTTTTTGAAAGGCCTTCAGGACAGTTCAACTAGTACCTTCAAGATGACTAATAATTTCCCCAGTGTTTCAGCTTAATTTGGAACGGCTTCTGAATCATTCCCTGTCAACAAAATAGAAGGCTTCAGAATTTGCCATTTATACCAAGAAAACATCCGTACAAATCGTTCATCTTCAGATCTACACTACATGAAAATACTATATACGTTGATCTATACAGGCCATGCAAACACCTTATTTCAATGCGCCAAGGCACTATCTTATCAGCTCATTCCCTTTCAACAGTGATGGTCTTGCACAGTTTCAAAACTGCACTTAGAAAATAGACACACAACCATGTCATTAAAGATACTGTGGAAACTAACAATGTGCACTTGAGTAAGAACATTATAACTTACTTAGTTTAACAGAATAAACGTAGGTTAGGAAATTTCTCCCACACATTTATGAATTAACTGCCTTCACAAATCTGTATTGACAAACCCTTCGTCGATGGCTTCTTTATTTGTAGAAACCGAGCACAAACATCACCATAATCGATTAATAGACAAAAGCCAGCACATAGCTCATTGTATTGATCCAAAACCACGACAAGTGGAGGAAAATCCCTCTATACTATTAAGCCCTCTTACACAGATCTAATCTAAATATAGGTAGTACAACATCAGGGCATGACAAATCCTTACTGGCATGGACCAGAAAGTACAAAAACTCACCCAACTAGCCTATCAGTTCACACGCACAATAATATTAGATATAGTAGGCTCAAAATATAAACCACGATTAACAATCCTAAACAAGAACGTCACCTGTGCTCAAATGTGATAATTTGGCTTATACTTAATTATCAAACACACTTTTGAAGGCACTACTCACATCAGTTTGAGAATGCAAACCTTATACAACAATAAACTAAACCCACTAAATTATCGTAAATCATAACAATATAGATGTTGTAATTATTAAAAATACACAATCAAGACATTTTTGCAAATCCCTCTCCAAAAGCGATTACCCATTCATTCTCATTGCCTGCACCATCTTTCTTTGACATTTATATAACACACTTCTATATAACAAATTACTAATCTGACTCCACAATACCATTAAAGTACATCCTTGAGATTAGAGTGGGCTGAGACCAAGAACGATTTTAACTTAAAAATGCTAATCTAACCAATAACCTGCAAAACTATCTAGGCTGTAAAATTAACTAAATCCCACCTGCCCCCTAATCTCAGGAGTCATTCATCAAGACTAGTCTCAGCAAACAACTCAAGAAGATTCCAAAACGTTTCAACCTGGCAAAAGATAGTATAATTAATATCCCTCACCTGTCAAACATGTACCAAGCAAACTATCACGTACAAAACTGAGATATATTCACATAAAGTTGATATATCTCAAACACGATCCACCTAATTACAATAAGGCCAATCATAATCTATCCCAGGCACTGCCTCTGACCTCCCCTTCAAACTACTACCAATGCCATAGTCTCGTTATTCTCTCTACCCATCCACACTTACTAAAATCCTGACGTCCTCCTAAGATAAAGTACCCCCAACAAGTCACCACACAGGACGGGACACGCTTACACACTTTCCAGCCCTAACGGAGATTATAGCTCGATACTGAAGCAGAAAAGTAGCTTAGAAGCAATAGCGCGGCGGGTATGAACCGGGGGAGAGGGGCGGCGGTGCGCGCAAATTCCAGGGAGGTCAGGAAGGGGAATATGCAGGGGGGGTTGGGGGGGCGAACGAGAGCCCGGACTGGAGAGAGGGGCGGCCCACGGGGGAAGGCCTCGAACGAGAACGTCGGGGCGGCAGTTTGGATGAGAAATGTAATAGGAATAGAATGGAGAAATAGGTTATGGGAATAGATGTAAAGGGGGGGGAAGTATGTGGTTTTAAGAGGGTTGTTTATAGAAATTTAGGAAATATAGTAATGTTTGAAAGATAAGGGATGTTTGTGAGGTTGGGGTGGGTAATATAGGGTTTTAGGGGTTTGGGGTGGTGGTAAGTGTTGGGTTTTATAGATTATTATGTTTTGAATATGTAGTAGGTTTTTTGTTTGTTATATTTGGAGGATTGGGGTGGGGATATAGTTTATATGATTGATTTTTGGTGATATTTGGAGGGATTTTGTTGGTTTTATATATAGGAGGTTTGTGGTGGAGATAATGTATTGGGATATGAGTGGTTATTAGATGGTGATTATGTGGTTTGTGGGGGGGGTGGTTTGGTGGTGTTGTTGTGTGGGTGGTGGGTGGGGTGGGTGGTTGGGTGTGTTTTTGGTGTTTTTGTTTTTGTGTTATGTTGGTTTTTATTGGTGTTTGGGGGGGGTGGGGTGGGGTGTGTGGGGTGGGGGGTTGGGTGTGGGGGGGGGTGGTGGGGGGGTTGGGTGTGTGGGTGTGGGTGGGTGTGGGTGGGGGGTGTGGTTGGTTGGTGGGGGGTTTTGTGGTGTTTGGTGGTTTTGGGGTGTGTGTGTGGGTTTTTTTGGGGTTTTGTTGTTTGTGGGGTGTTGGGGTTTGTGGGTGTGGGGGGGGTGTTTTTTTGTTTTGTGTGGTTGTTTTTGGTTTTTGGGGGGATGGGTGGGGAGGTTGGTGGTGTTGGGTGTTTTGTGGTGTGGTGGGGTGTTTGTGTTGGTGGTTTGGTGTTGGGGGGTGGTGGGGTTGTGGGTTGTGTTGTGGTTTGGTGGGGTGGGGGGGTTGGGTGGTGGGTGGGGGGTGGGGGGGTGGGGGTGTGGGTGGGTGGGGTGGGGGGGTGGTGGGTGGTGGGGGGGGTGGGTGGGTGGGGGTGGTGGGGTGTGGGGGGTGGTGGGGTGGTGGGGTGGTGGGTGGTGGGGGTGGGTGGTGGGGTGGGTGGTGGTGGGGGTTGGTGGGGGGTGGTGGTGGGGGGTGGGGTGGTGTTGGGGGTGGGGGTGGGGGGTGTGGTGTGGGTGGGGTTGGTGTGGGGGGGGGGGTGGGTGGGGTGGGTGGGGTGTGGTGGTTGGGGGGGTGTGGGTGGTGGTGGGGGGGGTGGGGGTGGGGGTGTGTGGGGGTGGGTGGGGGGTGGTGGGGTGGGGGTGTGGGTGGGGGGGGTGTTGGGGTTGGGGGGGTGGTGGGTGGGGTGTGGGGTGGGGGGGTGGTGGGGTGGTGGTGTGGGGGGTGGGGGTGGGGGGTGGTTGTGGGGTGTGGTGGGTGTGGGGTTGTGTGGTGATGATTGTTTGTTTGTGGTGTGTGGTGGGGGTTTCGTATAGGTAGATAAGGTTTATGGGGTGGTGTGGTAGGTATGGTTGTGGGGAGAGAGGTTGGAGGATAATGTGGGTTGGTGGTAGGGTTGTGTGTGGATGGGGGGTGTGAGGTGGTGGTTGAGGTTGGGAAGAGGATGGGTTGTTGGGGTGATGGTGGGAGAAAAGTGGTAGATAGGAGAGGGGTGTGGGGTGTGGGATGGTAGATTAGGTTGGGAGTAATAGGGGGATGTTGGGGGGGGGGGTGTGTATGGGGGGTTGGTGATGGGGTAGGTAGTGGGATGGTTGAGTGGGGGTTGATAGGATGGGAGGGGGTAGATGGGGTATGGGGGGGTTGTTTAGTAGAGATAATGGGGGGGGGTATAGGAAGAGAATGGGAGTGTAATGAGTAGATGGAGGGTGTGAGGTGGGTGAATTGTGGGAGGGGGAGAATTTGGGAATAAGAGGTATTGTTAATAATGGTAGTGTAGGGGTGGGGGTATGGGTTGGTGGTAGTTGTTTTTGTGTAGGGTTTGTTGTTGATTGTTTGGGTGTTAATGGTTTGGGAGTGAATGTGTTAGGGTGGGTGATGGGATAAGGTGGGGGGAATTGGAGATTTGTGGGTTATATTTGTTAGAGAAGTGGAGTGGGTAAATATAATGATATTAGTGATTGATATGGGGGGTATGTAAAAGTTCTTTTTGGTTGTTAAGGATTTTTTATGTTTTAATATTAGCGGACAAAAAGAGTACGTTGTGATTTGATGCTTTTTGAGTAAGTTAGAATCTGTAGATGGATGTTTTGAATATATAGATGTAAGGATATGTGTTCTATGTTTAATGGGTTTGGAAAGTTAATTCTTGTACCCACTGTTTCAGCTCTGCCTTACATTGTACAGTTGGGTTGAGGTCAAGGCTGTGATGGAGACTCCTACATCTTAACTCTGGGTCTCTGAGCTGTTTTTAAGCGTGGATTAGGGTCAGGGTGTTTTTGGGGTCACTGTCCATTTGGAAAACCCATCTGCGACCAAGCTTCAGCTTCCTCACTGATGTCCTGAGAGGCTCAACATATCCTCAGAATTCTCATCAATGCTATGGACTGCACATGGACTGAAATGATTGTCTTTGGTCCCCAGAAACAAAGAGAGAGCGTCATCTGTCACCTACAGTCTCTCTCCCTAAAACCTTCAAACAAGGTCAGAAATCTAGGGGTAATACTGGACTCAGACTTAAATTTTAATAGCCACATCAAATCAGTAACATCAGCAGCTTTTTACCATCTAAAAAACATTGCCAGGATCAAAAACATAGTGTCTAAAGCAGACTTGGAGATTCTTATCCATGCATTTGTCTCCAGTAGGTTAGACTACTGCAATGGCCTGCTCACAGGTCTGTCCAAACAGGCTGTAAAACAGCTGCAGTACATTCAAAATGCAGCAGCTCGAGTCCTGACAAGAACCAGGAAGTACGACCATATTAGTCCTGACTAGAACCAGGAAGTACGACCACATTAGTCCAGTCCTCAGGTCTCTGCACTGGCTTCCTGTGGCTCAGAGAATAGACTTTAAAACAGCTCTGCTTGTGTACAAGTCTCTCCATGGCCTCGCACCAAACTATATTAGTGACATGTTAGTCCCATATGAACCAGCCCGGACTCTGAGGAGCACAGGGACTGGACTCCTGCTGGGACTCTGAGGAGCACAGGGACTGGACTCCTGCTGGGACTCTGAGGAGCACAGGGACTGGACTCCTGCTGGGACTCTGAGGAGCACAGGGACTGGACTCCTGCTGGGACTCTGAGGAGCACAGGGACTGGACTCCTGCTGGGACTCTGAGGAGAGGCTGGACTGCTGGGACTCTGAGAGCACAGGACTGGACTCCTGCTGGGACTCTGAGGAGCACAGGACTGGACTCCTGCTGGGACTCTGGAGCACAGGGACTGGACTCTGCTGGGACTCTGAGGAGCACAGGGACTGGACTCCTGCTGGGACTCTGAGGAGCACAGGACTGGACTCCTGCTGGGACTCTGAGGAGCACAGGATGGACTCGCTGGACTCTGAGAGCACAGGGACTGACTCCTGCTGGGACTCTGAGGAGCACAGGGACTGGACTCCTGCTGGGACTCTGAGGAGCACAGGGACTGGACTCTTGTTAGTGCCCAGAGTCAGAACTAAACATGGGCAGGCTGCTTTTCAGATTCATGCTGCTAAAATCTGGAACAGTCTTCCTGAAGATGTGAGACAGGCCTCCTCTCTGACAATGTTTAAAACCAGGTTAAAGACAGTTCTGTTTAACTGTGCATACAACTGAGGAATTTTATATTTTTATCTTTCTTTTTATTGTTCTGTGATAATTTATGATTTTAATGCTTTCTTGTTTTGTTCAGCACTTTGAATTGCCTTGTGTATGAATTGTGCTATATAAATAAACTTGCCTTGCCTTGCCTTGCCACATTGGTTCATAGTGTGTGTGTGTGTGTGTGTGTGTGTGATAATAATAATAATAATAATACATTGCTTTTTGGCGCTTAACAAAAGACGCTTTACAAAACATATTTAATAAACATGGAAGAGCAAAATGAAGGAAAGGCTGAAACAGGAGAGTTTTAAGAAGTGATTTAAAGTTCTGTACTGAGTGGGAGTTTGTGATTGGTTGAGGGAGTGAGTTCCAGAGAGTGGGGGCAGCTGCGGCGAAGGCTCGGGTCCCCCAAGGTTCGGTCTTTCGTCCTGAGAACTACTTGTTCATCAGAATGTGTCTCGCTCCTGAGCAATGTGACGTCTATGTTGGCTCATTTTGTCTGACCTTTCCTACTTTTGTTGAACAGAAGAATGTGGAACCTTCAGGAAAGTTTGGCTCGGATGAAATATCTGGAATTATGAACAATTTGTGTGAAAGTATTTTTTTTGTTTAATCTATTATGTTTCTAAAATGATGACTTCCACTGTGTGTCTTTCTAACTCTTCAGGTGGGTTTGACCATAAATCATCACGCAGACCAGTCCCTCAACAGCTTCTGTCAGTGGCAGTCCGGCCTGATGGGCAAAGGCGGTAAAAGACACGACCATGCGGTTCTGCTCACGGGACTGGACATCTGCTCCTGGAAGAATGAACCCTGCGACACGTTAGGTAAAGACATGAAACAAAAGCCAAACAAGATACTGGAGTCGTGTGGTGAAATGACAATAACCCGAAGTGCAGAACTGCAAATATCATGGATTTAATAGAATGAAACGGGCTGTATGCACGGGGAGGCGTGATGTCATTTCCTGTTAACAAAGAACAGCCCGTTCACTTCCTGTTGTTGCTATCCTATGGCTTTTAGGTGAGTTTTAGTGACGTTTTTTAGTAATTAGATTGATACATTCAGCTGAGACTGACCCAAAAGTGTCGTTGTGCTTTCTCTCTGAGGTAGAGCTTTGACTGTGGCCACTCAGAGAGATGTGTAAACTTTATAAAAACACAATGACAGCACAATCAAACATGCCCAGTATCCTCACAGTTTAATCCCCGTTTGAGCATTATTTAAGAAACTTGTGTAAACCGCTGCGGAACTCCAGTGAAACTCAAGCCGTTTCCCGCAAACAGGAAGTGAAGTGGGGCTTTAACTAAAACTCAGAAGTGGTGCATCGAGCCCATACAAAACAGATTCAAGAGAAAACAATCAAAGTTTTTATAATGCACAATTCATACAGTGTAACCCAGAGTGCTTCATTAAAAAAACAGTGCATACACATATAAAACATATTGTATTAAAAAAATCAGTAAAAAAGTTAAAACTATTCTAAAAATAAATGCTTCAAATTAGTCATATGCAGAGATATTTAAGACTCCAGCCTGGACTTAGACGTTGCCAGGGACGAGGCCTGTCTCAAACGCTCAGGGAGACTGTTGCATACATTTGAACTGCAGCCTCCTCATGTTTAGTTCTGACCCTAGGTACCAGCAGGAGTCCAGTCCCTGTGCTCTTCATAGTCCCAGCAGGAGTCCAGTCCCTGTGCTCCTCAGAGTCCCAGCAGGAGTCCAGTCCCTGTGCTCCTCAGAGTCCCAGCAGGAGTCCAATCCCTGTGCTCCTCAGAGTCCCAGCATGAGTCCAGTCCCTGTGCTCCTCAGAGTCCCAGCATGAGTCCAGTCCCTGTGCTCATCAGAGTCCCAGCAGGAGTCCAGTCCCTGTGCTCCTCAGAGTCCCAGCAGGAGGCCAGTCCCTGTGCTCCTCATAGTCCCAGCAGGAGTCCAGTCCCTGTGCTCCTCATAGTCCCAGCAGGAGTCCAGTCCCTGTGCTCCTCAGAGTCCCAGCATGAGTCCAGTCCCTGTGCTCCTCAGAGTCCCAGCATGGGTCCAGTCCCTGTGCTCCTCATAGTCCCAGCATGAGTCCAGTCCCTGTGCTCCTCAGAGTCCCAGCATGGGTCCAGTCCCTGTGCTCCTCATAGTCCCAGCAGGAGTCCAGTCCCTGTGCTCCTCATAGTCCCAGCAGGAGTCCAGTCCCTGTGCTCCTCATAGTCCCAGCAGGAGTCCAGTCCCTGTGCTCCTCATAGTCCCGCCATGAGTCCAGTCCCTGTGCTCCTCAGAGTCCCAGCATGGGTCCAGTCCCTGTGCTCCTCATAGTCCCAGCATGAGTCCAGTCCCTGTGCTCCTCAGAGTCCCAGCATGGGTCCAGTCCCTGTGCTCCTCATAGTCCCAGCATGAGTCCAGTCCCTGTGCTCCTCAGAGTCCCAGCAGGAGTCCAGTCCCTGTGCTCCTCATAGTCCCAGCATGAGTCCAGTCCCTGTGCTCCTCAGAGTCCCAGCAGGAGTCCAGTCCCTGTGCTCCTCATAGTCCCAGCATGAGTCCAGTCCCTGTGCTCCTCAGAGTCCCAGCAGGAGTCCAGTCCCTGTGCTCCTCATAGTCCCAGCATGAGTCCAGTCCCTGTGCTCCTCATAGTCCCAGAATGAGTCCAGTCCCTGTGCTCCTCAGAGTCCCAGCAGGAGTCCAGTCCCTGTGCTCCTCAGAGTCCCAGCAGGAGTCCAGTCCCTGTGCTCCTCATAGTCCCAGAATGAGTCCAGTCCCTGTGCTCCTCATAGTCCCAGCATGAGTCCAGTCCCTGTGCTCCTCATAGTCCCAGCATGAGTCCAGTCCCTGTGCTCCTCATAGTCCCAGAATGAGTCCAGTCCCTGTGCTCCTCAGAGTCCCAGCAGGAGTCCAGTCCCTGTGCTCCTCAGAGTCCCAGCAGGAGTCCAGTCCCTGTGCTCCTCAGAGTCCCAGCAGGAGTCCAGTCCCTGTGCTCCTCAGAGTCCCAGCAGGAGACCAGTCCCTGTGCTCCTCAGAGTCCCAGCAGGAGGCCAGTCCCTGTGCTCCTCAGAGTCCCAGCAGGAGTCCAGTCCCTGTGCTCCTCAGAGTCCCAGCAGGAGTCCAGTCCCTGTGCTCCTCAGAGTCCCAGCAGGAGTCCAGTCCCTGTGCTCCTCAGAGTCCCAGCAGGAGTCCAGTCCCTGTGCTCCTCAGAGTCCGGGCTGGTTCATATGGCACTAACATGTCACTAATATATTTTGGTGCGAGGCCATTACTGTTCTCAAATTATGATTAAAAAAACCACTTCATTTTAGCACTTTTTATCTTATACTTGATCATGTTTTGTAGTGTAAAGACATAATGACAATAAACCACAGCAGTTACATCTTTATGCAGTTCAATAGAGTGTTTTGGAGAATGAAAGTCTGAAACAAGGGCCAGAGTTTAGCTCATGTCACACACTGTTTATGCACTGTAACCACTTTGTGTCCAGAAAGTATTTTTTTATTATTATTACTATGACTACTTTGCATTTCATATTTTAGTCTGACTCTTGCCATTACCAGAGAACCACGGCTACTCTCTGTGGTCGCCCCATAAAGTGGTTTGTGATTTAATTCTAACATCGGATTGAAAAAAAAGAGGCACTGCCAAGCATTTCTGGATATCGAATATGCATTTCTAAATAGAGCTGTGGGACTACTGTGGTTTATTAGTGTATTTTTGATTTGGAAAAATGTAATGTTTTATTGTTAAATCTTGTTTTGAGGATAATAATTAGTATTTCCTTAGGCTTTGCTCCCATCAGCGGAATGTGCAGCAAGTACAGAAGCTGCACCATCAACGAGGACACTGGGCTGGGCCTGGCCTTCACCATTGCACATGAATCTGGACACAAGTGGGTTTGAAGTGTTATGTTACAAATGAACCCTTTAATGGTTTCCTTGACCTGATGGTGGATCACTTTGAACTGAAATCTACCTCATTGTTGCATCTATCACTTGGTTTTAGGCACTTTTCCATCAAACTGCTTCTCAACCATTTGGTAAAGGCCTATAATAGTAAAAAAACAACATTATTTTGTGATTAGTTAAGGAGTGAACATTAAAGGGTTATTAAACATGTTACACACTACAGCGTTGACAGCCAAGGCTAATTTGCTAATCTTCATCCCTAGGAGCGTTTATAAAAAAAAATAAAAAAGCCAGATTACATTATTTTACTTTCCCGTTATAATGTCCTCCAAGTCACAGATGGACCTCACACTCTGAGATCTCAGGATGTACACACTGTCCAACGTGTGTTTTCAGGATTGCGCTCCAACAGATTGGAATTTCTTACTGAAAACCTAAACTCTAAAGTAGTTTTGTTGTGTTTCATAAAACTAAATGTATTGGATTATTTTAACAACTGTTTTTGAGGATTGTGTTGTGAAAGCCTGTTGGCCGGGACACCCACGGAAAAGCGGTTAAATGAAGACTAAGATTTAGGAGTAGGGTCAAGTAATTGGGCGGCACGGTGGCTGAGTGGTTAGCACTCTCGCTTCTCAGCAAGAAGGTCCTGGGTTTGAATCCCGGTCAGACCAGGGCCTTTCTGAGTGGAGTTTGCATGTTCTCCCCGTGTACCACTAAAAACATGTATGATAGGTCTGGCATGTGCCTCCTGTACTGGCCCCTCCCATCTCTGTGTGGAGTGAGAGACTAATGCCCAAAAATAACAATTGTAAAGAACTTTGTGACTCTGGTCTGTGAAAGGCTCTATATAACTAAATATTACTTACTTACTTACGTAAAAAATTGGCTTCTTTAAAAAAAAAAACTTCCAGTTTGTGTTCCGAGCTTGGTCAGAAATGCCAGACTGAATGAATTCATTCTGCAAACCTATTGCACATTTCTATTCTGTATCGTAAAAACATGAATTATTTTAGTTTTGGCATGATCCATGATGGAGAAGGAAACCCCTGCAGAAAGACCGAAGGCAACATCATGTCCCCCACGCTCGCTGGCAACAACGGCGTCTTCTCCTGGTCCACGTGCAGTCGCCAATACCTCAGCCGATTTCTTGGGTAACAAAACCGACTTCTTCATTTGCCTTTGAGTTTTGGCTTTTGATTGACGTACTTATGTGTTCCTCTGTTTACCAGAACAGCTCAGGCTTCCTGTCTGGTGGACGAGCCGAGGCAGATTGGCCAGTACAAGTATCCAGAGCAACTTCCAGGGCAGCTGTATGACGCAGATATACAGTGCAAGTGGCAGTTTGGGCTCAAGGCAAAACTCTGCAGTCTAGATTTTGTAAAGGTAAGAATTTGAAAGATTTTGCTTAACCCTTTAATGGTTTCCGCGACCATTTTGTGGATCACTTTGAGTCAGAATATCTACTTGAAGCTTGGAACTGAAATCATTGTTGCATCTATTCAAAACTAGCTTGGTAGCTTTAATCTGGTCTATTTGTGTTATACTGATGTTCATTAATGTGCATTGTCCCCAAATATATTAATATCACTTGGTTTTAGGCACTTTTACCTAAAACTGCAACTGTATAATAAACATGATTTAGTTTTTAGTGCTCCTACATCTTAGAAAAAAGAGACATTTACATTGCCTTCTTTAAAGGTACTCTGTGTAATTTTGACAGTTGCTCCAGATGAAAAAAAAACATATTGACCAAAAACAAATGTGACCTTTTTAAGAATATTTACCTCTTCAATTTTTTTGTCATAAACTTAGAATGTGACGTATAAATGTCCGTGAGCCTGAGGACTCTACATGTCACTCCACCATCTTGGACTACAGAGGCTGATAAGGGACAAAAAGGAGTTTGAGCAGGAGTTGGGGGCCACTGTCAAAGACCACATATTGTCCTGTGAAGCCACCGTAGAACCGTAAATTACAATATATGATCTCAAGGCTACATGGGAGTAAAACTACACAGAGTACCTTTAAGGAGTGAACATTAACCCTTTAGGCGCCAGCATTTTTTTGAGAAAAGTGTTGTGAAATAGACAATACATGAGAAAAAAATACATAAGAAATAGTTAGAGATTACTTAAAGACTTCTTAAACCAATAAGATAAATACGTAGGAGATAATATGTAAGAAGAATGCAGGGACACGTTTGTGGGAAGCCAAGTTGCTGTATAGAAACTGTCCTGGATTAAGGAGCAATTCTGCTACTTTGGCGCCTAGAGGGTTAAAACCACACAGGCTGTTGATTGAGTGTCTTATTTACCGGGCGTCATGAAAGAACATGGGGAACTAAGTCTGGAGAAAGAGGCTAAATTATGCATAGGCCGGGACATTCTGCTGCTGAGCGCTAATGCGGTTTTTAACGGGCACTTTATTAATTAGCATGATGTTTTCAGTTCACATCCCCTCTCCCGCTTGACTTGCCTTTCAAAATGGGATCTGACGACGGAGCACTCCCCCTTGTCTTTCTCTTTACATCGCCCTGACGGAGAAAGGCTTTATGTCGGAGGGCTTCATTACTGTGGATTCACATGTAAATTATGTTCTAAAAGCCTCGGCCTTTCTTCCTATAGAGAAAACTCAGTGGGAAAATCTAATCAGGCCTTGTCAGGAGCTCGTCTGTGTTTAGCTAACTCAAGATCAAATAAAACATGTGCATTTGTGTGACTTGTGTGCGGGTTGGTGGGTGGTAAATGGACCTACAAAGCTGATTAACAAGAGTTTGAGGCTGTCCTGCGTCCTTTCTCTTGGTTGTTTTTGTGATGTATATTCAGCGTGGTGTTTGGGTCGTATATACACCACGTATATATAAATAAAGATTACTAAAGATTACTAATATACCACCTGCCCGTATTAGACATGCACATATTCCAACACATGAATACTCAGAGTACAGTATGTGTTCAAGTCTATAGGCTCCGTTCTCTCACCTCAGGAGGAAGTCCGGTCTGTGGCTGGAGACTCCGGGTTATGTTTGTAGGTCCATCTCTGTAAAGTTTCCCTTCACACTCACAGTTACAGATGTTTTTCCCCCATGTGGCACAAATAAAGGTTCTCTTATCTTGACTATAACTCCCAGAGCAGTCAATTTGACGGCTTGACAGTCTGATTACTCAGCCTTTTTGGTGTTCATAACTTTGTGTCTTTCTCTGGATCTTTATTTAGTTTATTTATATATTGTAATTATTAAATGATCTTTTATTTATGAAATGTGAGTAATTCTACCAATAACTCCCAAAGAAGAGCCAATACTGGTTACCATAGCAACACACAGTTTACGGTTAGCAGTTAGCATTTAGCCGTTGTTGTATTTTAAGTCATATTCAGTTTTAGTACTTGTTTAAAAGCGAGTAGAGGTAAACGGCTTCAATTTGATTAATTTCTCAGTTTTGATGGGAGCAGTTAAAATGGCGTCTCTGGGAGTATTCGAGTATCAAAGAGTTTTTCATGATGATGTTTGACACAGCGTCTGTCGTGATGTTTTTGCTGACCTTGTGTTTGTGTGTTGGTGATAGAAATATGATGTTGTTTGACAGGACATCTGTAAGTCTCTGTGGTGTCATCGCTCTGGGCAGCGCTGTGAGACAAAGTTCATGCCAGCGGCAGAGGGCACCAGCTGCGGCCCGGACATGGTTCGTGTTTTTTTATTTGACTTGATTCAAAACAAAAAGTATCCAAAGAAGCGCAGTTCTATTCATTCAACAAAAATCCTGTATCCATCCATTAAAATCCACCATGTGTAAACTCTGGTCCATGGTCATTTCCTACATGTACGTCTGGTCTTACCATGTGTAAACTCTGGTCCATGGTCATCTCCTACATGTACGTCTGGTCTTACCATGTGTAAACTCTGGTCCATGGTCATCTCCTACATGTACGTCTGGTCTTACCATGTGTAAACTCTGGTCCATGGTCATCTCCTACATGTACGTCTGGTCTTACCATGTGTAAACTCTGGTCCATGGTCATTTCCTACATGTACGTCTGGTCTTACCATGTGTAAACTCTGGTCCATGGTCATCTCCTACATGTACGTCTGGTCTTACCATGTGTAAACTCTGGTCCATGGTCATCTCCTACATGTACGTCTGGTCTTACCATGTGTAAACTCTGGTCCATGGTCATCTCCTACATGTACGTCTGGTCTTACCATGTGTAAACTCTGGTCCATGATCATTTCCTACATGTACGTCTGGTCTTACCATGTGTAAACTCTGGTCCATGGTCATTTCCTACATGTACGTCTGGTCTTACCATGTGTAAACTCTGGTCCATGGTCATCTCCTACATGTAGGTCTGGTCTTACCATGTGTAAACTCTGGTCCATGGTCATTTCCTACATGTATGTCTGGTCTTACCATGTGTAAACTCTGGTCCATGATCATTTCCTACATGTACGTCTGGTCTTACCATGTGTAAACTCTGGTCCATGGTCATTTCCTACATGTACATCTGGTCTTACCATGTGTAAACTCTGGTCCATGATCATTTCCTACATGTACGTCTGGTCTTACCATGTGTAAACTCTGGTCCATGGTCATCTCCTACATGTACGTCTGGGATTACCATGTGTAAACTCTGGTCCATGATCATCTCCTACATTACCATGTGTAAACTCTGGTCCATGATCATCTCCTACATGTACGTCTGGTCTTACCATGTGTAAACTCTAGTCCATGGTCATTTCCTACATGTACGTCTGGTCTTACCATGTGTAAACTCTGGTCCATGGTCATTTCCTACATGTACGTCTGGTCTTACCATGTGTAAACTCTGGTCCATGATCATCTCCTACATGTACGTCTGGTCTTACCATGTGTAAACTCTGGTCCATGGTCATCTCCTACATGTACGTCTGGTCTTACCATGTGTAAACTCTGGTCCATGATCATTTCCTACATGTACGTCTGGTCTTACCATGTGTAAACTCTGGTCCATGGTCATCTCCTACATGTACGTCTGGGATTACCATGTGTAAACTCTGGTCCATGATCATCTCCTACATTACCATGTGTAAACTCTGGTCCATGATCATCTCCTACATGTACGTCTGGTCTTACCATGTGTAAACTCTGGTCCATGATCATTTCCTACATGTACGTCTGGGTCTGATCCTATTGGCTGCAGTTTCCTCGGTTGAATCCCCTCCGACCAATCAGTGCAAAGAGTGTGCGCTGAATTTGCTGGTTGTAGTTTGTCTGAGAATGTGGTCGTAAAATAATCTGTTCTGGTTCAGCTCCAAATATCAAGAAACTGAAGCCAGAGCAAGATCAATCTGCAAAAGGAGTTAACCCCTCCCACCTGTTAACGGAGCAGCTCTAGACCTAAATACCAAATTAAATGAGTACAATGGTATGATAAGACCAGGCTAGATCAACTTTGAATTCTGACTGACAGCCTCCATGTTAAGAATACACACTTCCTATGGGCTAGTACTACACAAAAGAGACCAACCAGTGAATGTACCTCTCAATACTAGGATAAAAAAGTAATGCCATTTTAAACCAAAAGATCTAGTCTTGAAGTTTTCCAGACGACTGAATAATTCATGATGACTATATAGATCCTGTTTCCCCAGTCCATCTTCATAATGGCTACTCTTACAGAATTAATCTTGGTAATTGTATTCCTGAATAAAGAAGTAGGCAAAAGGGCAGCACATTTCAGCAAACTAGCTTCAGCCTGAGTACTTAATCACTCTGATCAAAGTCAATTATGTCTCCAATGTGCTTTGATGTACTTGCTTGTACCTGCAAAAGGCTTCTTCTTCCAGCTGGACACAGAACAATAGTCGTCTTTTCATACTGAATAATGGTATTTAGACAAGAAGGTGTGTGCGTGTTGGGATTGAGGAGGATCAGCGATGCTCAGTGTGTGTCTGTCTGTGTGGCGTTTGTGCTTCCAGGTGTGTTACCGGGAACATGGCCAAGACAAAAACCTCCGCCAGAAACACGGCTCAACAACTGATTATTCTACTTTCTACTTTGCTCATCCACATCCTAATGGTCTGGTGTTTTGTGTGCAGTGGTGTCGGAGGGGGCAGTGTGTGAAGTACGGGGAGCACGGCCCAAAGGCGGTCCACGGGCAATGGTCCACCTGGTCCGAGTGGTCCGACTGCTCCAGGACGTGTGGGGGCGGGGTCATGTATCGGGAGCGCTCCTGCAGCAGTCCAAGGTTTGTGCAGACGCTGGAATTCAGAGGCAGATTTATCAAGAGTGTGTGTGTGCGTAAGAATGATTAGCATCCTTTACAGCACCACAAACTGACTTATTGTGAACAACACAAAGTAAATCTATACAACTAACGGGCATTGGCACACACACACACACACACACACACACGTAAGAACACCCACGCACACACATACATAAACACACAAACACATACACGCAAGCACACACACACATACATACACACATGCACATAAACACGCACACAAATACACGCACAAAACCACACGCACACATATTCCAAAAGAAGTGTGGTCCTTCCTACAGGAGTGGTTTTGTTGCCAGACTGTAATGATCTGAAACAGCAGAATATCTGAGCTCACGTCTCTCTTAACTGTTCTCAGGAACACTTTGTGCTTCAGTCGAACTCTAAGAAAATAACTTGTGATATTAGAAAAACCAAAAACATATGGAAGATTTATTTCATTTTGATGACATTTATCTAAAGTAGCAATATGTAAAATTTTCATCTCAAGTCATCGTCAAATGGTTCACCGCATGGAGCTAATCTCACTGGTAAAGTATCATGTGGCACAGAACTAAAAAAGGTCTCGTTATGATTCTCAAATCATTAACGACAAAACAAGAAATAAAACCAGGATTTCTATCTTTGTGAAAAAGGTGTTGGTTATAAATTTGTTGTTGACAAAACTCTTGTCTATTCAGCTGTTATGGTCCCAGCTGGATTCGTCTGCATATCTGGCAACCTGAGTCAGGAAGAGTGGGAGAGGCTGCAGTACCACTTTTGGCCACATGTTTACACACTGCTCCTTTAAAGTGGTTCTCACCCCCGCTCCTCGGAGCTTACGTCACTCACATTTCCTGTTCAAATCTTCCTCTAAATGGGCGTGGCCTGGAGGACTAAAGGGGGCGTGAACGAGACTGGGCCGTTTATATAGCTCTGGGCGGGGGGCTGCTGACGTCAGGTCTTGCTTCAGACGTCAGGTCTTGCTTCAGACGTCAGGTCTTGCTTCAGACGTCAGGTCTTGCTTCAGACGTCAGGTCTTGCTTCAGACGTCAGGTCTTGCTTCTGACGTCAGGTCTTGCTTCAGACGTCAGGTCTTGCTTCAGACGTCAGGTCTTGCTTCAGACGTCAGGTCTTGCTTCAGACGTCAGGTCTTGCTTCAGACGTCAGGTCTTGCTTCAGACGTCAGGTCTTGCTTCAGACGTCAGGTCTTGCTTCAGACGTCAGGTCTTGCTTCAGACGTCAGGTCTTGCTTCAGACGTCAGGTCTTGCTTCAGACGTCAGGTCTTGCTTCTGACGTCAGGTCTTGCTTCAGACGTCAGGTCTTGCTTCAGACGTCAGGTCTTGCTTCAGACGTCAGGTCTTGCTTCTGACGTCAGGTCTTGCTTCAGACGTCAGGTCTTGCTTCAGACGTCAGGTCTTGCTTCAGACGTCAGGTCTTGCTTCAGACGTCAGGTCTTGCTTCAGACGTCAGGTCTTGCTTCAGACGTCAGGTCTTGCTTCAGACGTCAGGTCTTGCTTCAGACGTCAGGTCTTGCTTCAGACGTCAGGTCTTGCTTCAGACGTCAGGTCTTGCTTCAGACGTCAGGTCTTGCTTCAGACGTCAGGTCTTGCTTCTGACGTCAGGTCTTGCTTCAGACGTCAGGTCTTGCTTCAGACGCCAGGTCTTGCTTCAGACGTCAGGTCTTGCTTCAGACGTCAGGTCTTGCTTCAGACGTCAGGTCTTGCTTCAGACGTCAGGTCTTGCTTCAGACGCCAGGTCTTGCTTCAGACGTCAGGTCTTGCTTCAGACGCCAGGTCTTGCTTCAGACGTCAGGTCTTGCTTCAGACGTCAGGTCTTGCTTCAGACGTCAGGTCTTGCTTCAGACGTCAGGTCTTGCTTCAGACGTCAGGTCTTGCTTCAGACGTCAGGTCTTGCTTCAGACGTCAGGTCTTGCTTCGGACGTCAGGTCTTGCTTCGGACGTCAGGTCTTGCTTCGGACGTCAGGTCTTGCTTCAGACGTCAGGTCTTGCTTCAGACGTCAGGTCTTGCTTCAGACGTCAGGTCTTGCTTCAGACGTCAGGTCTTGCTTCAGACGTCAGGTCTTGCTTCAGACGTCAGGTCTTGCTTCAGACGTCAGGTCTTGCTTCGGACGTCAGGTCTTGCTTCGGACGTCAGGTCTTGCTTCGGACGTCAGGTCTTGCTTCAGACGTCAGGTCTTGCTTCAGACGTCAGGTCTTGCTTCAGACGTCAGGTCTTGCTTCAGACGTCAGGTCTTGCTTCAGACGTCAGGTCTTGCTGCAGACGTCAGGTCTTGCTTCTGACGTCAGGTCTTGCTTCAGACGTCAGGTCTTGCTTCAGACGCCAGGTCTTGCTTCAGACGTCAGGTCTTGCTTCAGACGTCAGGTCTTGCTTCTGACGTCAGGTCTTGCTTCAGACGTCAGGTCTTGCTTCAGACGCCAGGTCTTGCTTCAGACGTCAGGTCTTGCTTCAGACGCCAGGTCTTGCTTCAGACGTCAGGTCTTGCTTCAGACGTCAGGTCTTGCTTCAGACGTCAGGTCTTGCTTCAGACGTCAGGTCTTGCTTCAGACGTCAGGTCTTGCTTCAGACGTCAGGTCTTGCTTCAGACGTCAGGTCTTGCTTCGGACGTCAGGTCTTGCTTCGGACGTCAGGTCTTGCTTCGGACGTCAGGTCTTGCTTCAGACGTCAGGTCTTGCTTCAGACGTCAGGTCTTGCTTCAGACGTCAGGTCTTGCTTCAGACGTCAGGTCTTGCTTCAGACGTCAGGTCTTGCTTCAGACGTCAGGTCTTGCTTCAGACGTCAGGTCTTGCTTCGGACGTCAGGTCTTGCTTCGGACGTCAGGTCTTGCTTCGGACGTCAGGTCTTGCTTCAGACGTCAGGTCTTGCTTCAGACGTCAGGTCTTGCTTCAGACGTCAGGTCTTGCTTCAGACGTCAGGTCTTGCTTCAGACGTCAGGTCTTGCTGCAGACGTCAGGTCTTGCTTCAGACGTCAGGTCTTGCTTCAGACGTCAGGTCTTGCTTCAGACGTCAGGTCTTGCTGCAGACGTCAGGTCTTGCTTCAGACGTCAGGTCTTGCTTCAGACGTCAGGTCTTGCTGCAGACGTCAGGTCTTGCTTCAGACGTCAGGTCTTGCTGCCGCGCCAGTGTTGGCGCCAGATTCAAAATTCAAATGTAGTAATACAGGTCGCCAGCAGATGGCGCCTCACAGACGGTTTTAGGCAGAAAGTTTAACTTTCAACTAATTTGCACCAAAGTGACAAAATTATGACCAGGATATGTAGGAAACACTATTGGACACTCATTTATACCGTTTATCAGCAAAAAGAAGTGGATTTGAGGGTGAGTTGTCCTTTAAGCAGAAATCTCAGACTAGAATCTGAGCCCAAAACAGCCTTTTTTTACGAGCATCTTTTTGCTATAAAAGTTAAAGCGCCTTGTTCCGTCAGTGTGAAGACTACATTGAGTAAGTAAGTGATATTGTAAAGAGCTTTGTGTGACCCTGGTCTGTAAAATGCGCAATATGAATAAACATTACTAACTAACTTAAGTTTCCATTGAGCACTGATGCGTAGGGCTGTCCGTCTTTCTTCAATTACTCAAATAATCAGTCAATGGTTTCTCACTCGAAGGAAAAATTGCACTTGTTGACTAAATGTTTTATAGACATTGCAATAGAAAATAAACAAGCCAAGAAGGAAATTAAGTGAATGCTTTACTTATTTACTTCTCCTTTTCCAAAACTCTGTTCGTGGGATTTTGTGTGATTGTAGGTCAAATATTCAGCACGGTTTAGGTCAAAAACATATTGCCTCCTTTTTGGTTGACTATTCGACTGAGCAGAGCTTTTAACATCTGAAGACAAACCTGTGCAAATGAAATGAAACTGTTGGATGGAGGATACAATAAAATTAATATAATAATACAAAAATATAATAACTCTTAACTCCATAAGTGAATCTGGCCCCATTTGAATCTTCAATATAAGAAAGATACTGTACATAGTGAACATACGGTCAGTTATTCTCATTTGTCCCGATTCTCATCAACACAATGCATCAGATAGAAAAGACAACCCAACACACACACACACACACACACACACACGACAAAATGATTCACGCTGTCATTCTCCGACCAAAACCCTCTGACTTGAAGACTTTAGTCCATCCATCCATCCATTTTCTACCCTTTAATCCATTTCTGGGTCAGGGGGGTGGCAGTCAGAGATGCCACCCAAGTCTCATAGCACCAGCCCCTCACTGACCCTCTGCAGGTGGTGAGTCCACAGGAGGACGGCTGCTCTCTGAGTGTGAGCATAGCCTTGATCTTTCAGTGGGGGCTTTGGGCAAAGTGGGGTTAAGTGTCTTGCCCAAGGACACAACGACAGCAGTCATCAGTGGGAGTCGGTGGAGAAGGTGCAGAGGTGGGAATTGAACCCACGACCTGCTTCTGTTCCAAGCACAAATCTTGTCCCGAAATCCTTCCCTGCTTCGAAAACACCTGACCACTAGGCTTGCCAGGTATCTGTCAACACACACACACACACGCACACACACACACACGCACACACACACACACATCCGAAGCTGCTCTCATCATTCACAAAGGCAGTCCAGACAGAGCCATAGACGCCCCCTCCCCTCGCTGCGTACTCCCCAGGCCGCCTATGAGCATGATCCTATTGGAAAAGCTGCCAAGAGCGTCCGAAAAGCGTTCCCTCATCACAGCTCGCTCAAACAAACATCGTTCTACATCTTTCTTCCGACGCAAGATCCCACAGAACATTTTTTTTGTACGTCTGTCTTTACACGCAACTTTTCCCCATTTTTCGGTCCATCCCGGTTTGATTTACGGGTCTCCACAAAGAGCTGTTGATCCAATATGTCTCTATTTGTAATCATGGGATTGCTCCACATGAAAGGACCTGGTTTACGTTTGGATGTTTATGGTTCATGCCCTAAAATGATGATTTGTATTTAGTTTCATTTCATTTCATTTTCAACCCCTTTGTCCAAGGGTTGTATAAGGGTTAAAAAAAAGTAGTCAGTAATCAATTCTAGTTTCAAAAAATACATTTCAAGTATTTACTTATTTATGAAACATTTTTGAGACATGTTTTTCCTTATTTTATCTAAACAAGAAAAGTTGTCTGGAAATAAGAAAAATACTTAAAACAATCTTAAAAAGTCACTACTCAGACTTGTTTCCTCTAAGATTCCTCTAAGAAGTATTATTATCTTAAACTAGTAAAATAATCTGACAGGACAAACTACGTTCAAGCAACCAAAACATTCAAAAAGATAAGCATCATTTATGTTATTTTTAGTAAACGAATCTTCCCAGGACTTAACGTTGTTCAGTGTATGCTAAGCTAATGGTTCTATAGTGAACACGGGGGCTTCCTTTCTCTGATTCCAGTTCTTTCCTAATCCTCCATGAGATCACAGATGCTGAGTCTGAGCTCTCCTCATGACACACATCAAGGTCCAGACTGACGGAGCAGAGCAGGAGCCTTCCACCTTTATCTCCTTTAAGACACAGAAAAGTGCTTCGTACACTGAGAAAACTCAAGTCTCGGTACGATTTATTTACTATAAAAACTAAAAAGATTATGCTTTTGTGTTTTGTTTGGATGTAGTTTGTCATGTCAGATTATTTTACTAGTTTAAAAATAATAATTCTTCATAATCTTAGAGAAAAAAGTCTGTCTGCAGTAAGTTTTTAAGCTTGTTTTAAAGATGCTATACCATTCATTCATAAAAATGCTTATTACTACAAGTTGTATTATAATCAGTAATTTAATTGAAAACTTGAGCTCATTGATACAGATGTGTATGAATCCAGGACTATCTACGCTCGGACTATCTACGCTCGGACTATCTACGCTCGGACTATCTGCGCTCGGACTATCTGCGCTCGGACTATCTACGCTCTGACCTATCTACGCTCGGACTATCTACGCTCGGACTATCTGCGCTCTGACTATCTACGCTCAGACTGTCTACGCTCGGACTGTCTACGCTCGGACTATCTACGCTCGGACTAACTGCGCTCGGACTATCTGCGCTCGGACTATCTACGCTCGGACTATCTACGCTCGGACTATCTACGCTCGGACTATCTACGCTCGGACTATCTACGCTCGGACTATCTACGCTCGGACTGTCTACGCTCGGACTGTCTACGCTCTGACTATCTACGCTCGGACTATCTACGCTCGGACTATCTACGCTCGGACTATCTGCGCTCGGACTATCTACGCTCGGACTATCTACGCTCGGACTATCTACGCTCGGACTATCTACGCTCGGACTATCTACGCTCGGACTATCTGCGCTCGGACTATCTACGCTCGGACTATCTACGCTCGGACTATCTACGCTCGGACTATCTACGCTCGGACTATCTACGCTCATACTATCTACGCTCGGACTTCTACGCTGACTATCTACGCTCGGACTATCTACGCTCGGACTATCTACGCTCGGACTATCTACGCTCGGACTATCTACGCTCGGACTATCTGCGCTCGGACTATCTACGCTCGGACTATCTACGCTCGGACTATCTACGCTCGGACTATCTACGCTCGGACTATCTACGCTCGGACTATCTACGCTCGGACTATCTACGCTCGGACTATCTACGCTCGGACTATGCGCTCGGACTGTCTACGCTCGGACTATCTACGCTCGGACTGTCTACGCTCGGACTGTCTACGCTCGGACTGTCCACGCTCGGACTGTCTACGCTCGGACTATGCGCTCGGACTGTCTACGCTCGGACTATCTACGCTCGGACTATCTGCGCTCGGACTATCTACGCTCGGACTATCTACGCTCGGACTATCTACGCTCGGACTATCTACGCTCGGACTATGCGCTCGGACTGTCTACGCTCGGACTATCTACGCTCGAACTATCTACGCTCGGACTATCTACGCTCGGACTATCTGCGCTCGGACTGTCTACGCTCGGACTATCTACGCTCGGACTATGCGCTCGGACTGTCTACGCTCAGACTATCTACGCTCGGACTATCTGTGCTCGGACTATCTACGCTCGGACTATCTGCGCTCGGACTATCTGCGCTCGGACTATCTGCGCTCGGACTGTCTACGCTCGGACTATCTACGCTCGGACTATCTGCGCTCGGACCATCTGCGCTCGGACTGTCTACGCTCGGACTATCTACGCTCGGACTATCTACGCTCAGACTATCTACGCTCAGACTGTCTACGCTCGGACTGTCTACGCTCGGACTATCTACGCTCGGACTATCTACGCATGTTAGCAGTGCGTTGCTTTTGTACCATTTTATCAGTGATTGTTGTACAGCTTAAGTTGCGCTAATGCTAATGTTAGCATATAGATCACAAATAAAACTAGTTGCTCCGTGGGAGGAGAGCGCAGGGGAAATGAGAAGCCTGTGAGCGAGTTGGGGGCGGGGCTAAACACTCCTTTAAGCTCCTTTAAGTAGTTTTTCTTATTTCCAGACAACTTTTCTTGTTTAGATAAAATACATTTGTGCTGCTATATTTTAAGAATACATTTCTCAAAAAGTTTTAAGAAATAAGTAAATAATACTTGAAATGTATGTTTTTAGACTAGAATCAAAGCAGTTGGGGCTAATGTTATTGTCTTAGTATCAGAAATCTTGTCAAGTCAAATTCTCTTGTTCTATTGTCTATTCATTTAAGCAGTATTTTTCTTATTTTCATATATTTATTCCCTATAACCCTAACCCTACTATTTTTTCAAGGGATTTTCCCCTGTGTAGCTGCAGTTACATTACTATGTTTAGTGCACTGTAAACCACTGAGTTATAGGTCATTAAGACACAGAAAATGTCAGATGAAGATGATATTTGAATAACAACCTTGTTTTTGACCCACACAGACGACTGTACAGCTGCTGGAACACAGAACATGGGGATTACACATTCTTACATTAAGCTGCCGTGTCATACGTGTATTCTGGGTCAATTGTGGAGTCATTGTAAACATTACTAATGATGCCAGTAATTATTCTCGCCACATTGCTTTGGCCCTAATCTGAACTGGATTACACGGCACGATGTTTGGTGCTGTGTGTCATGATCAGACACAAACACATTTCCTGCTTGGGTTCCTCTGCTTGGAAATAAAACATCCAGTGGAACTATAGCTTCATATGTACAGAACCATTGAGGACCACTCCACACTGGTATGTCCACAAAGATTCATTCATTCAGATTTAAAATAGCAATATGTAAGATTTTTATGTCAAGTCATCATTAAAGGGCCCTAATCTGTCATAATAATAAACTGCTCTTTTCCAATACTTCTTTAACTGATAACAGTCGTTCACAGATATTTGAATTTCTAAATTACTTTTCCAGCCCCTAAATCTTATTATTGTTTTCATTTCGATGTCCCGCCCTCCACCGTTTTAACCAATCAGAAAGTCTGTGATCCGGGCGCCAGAACTCACTGCGTGGAGCTAATCTCACTGGTAAAGTACCATGTGGAGCTAATCTCACTGGTAAAGTACCATGTGGCGCAGAACTAAAAAAGGTCTCGTTATGATTCTCAAATCATTAACGACAAAACATAATAAATTATTGCCTTCAAATAATTGCCTCTCCCACTCTCCCTGACTCAGGTTGCCAGATATGCAGACGAATCCAGCTGGGACCATAACAGTTGAATAGACAAGAGTTTTGTCAACAACAAATCTATAACCAACACCTTTTTCACAAAGATAGAAATCCTGGTTTTATTCCTTTTTTTGTCGTTAATGATTTGAGAATCATAACGAGACCTTTTTTAGTTCTGCGCCACATGGTACTTTACCAGTGAGATTAGCTCCACGCGGTGAGTTCTGGCGCCCGGATCACAGACTTTCTGATTGGTGAAACGGTGGAGGGCGGGACATCGAAATGAAAACAACAACAAAAATGTTGAAATCCAAATATTTCTGAGCTACTGTTATCAGTTAAAGAAGGATTGGAAAAGAACATGTTTTATTAATGCCTTTGACAGATTAGGGCCCTTTAATGATGACGAGACATGAAAATCTCACATATTGCTACTTTAATTATAACTTGTCAATTGTTTTTTCTTACTGTTAAATATGTGCCACATTTGAAGTCAGTTATATCTGTAAAATGTGAACGCTCTGTAGGAACCTCCTGCTCTGATGTGTTCCCCGTGGACCACCTGCCCCTAATCCTCACCAACAGGACTGCAGGGATTAGGCTCATGATCTTGACCTGGTTTTGAACATATTTTGAGACCCTCCCGAATGCTTGTAAATGTCCCCAGAATACACGGAGTACAGAATACTCTTTCTGAGTAACTGTATTCTGTTACAGTTACTACTTTAAAGTCTAGTGTTTAGATTACAGTTAGTACATGAATGAAATCTTTCTCACATTATGTTTAAGGTAAAAAAGAGAAAAGAAAACATTGGGTATTCTTCCATTTTGTTAAATGCAGCTGTTGAAGCATTTTGACTTGTTTTACACAAATAAACAACAAATTATCAATTAATTACAAAACATTATTTATGTATTTAAACATTTATTGAGGTTGTGCTTTTAAATATTGTGAAATGTACCTTTATAATTGTTGTAAATACACATTCGTTTACAACAAAGTATTCCGAATACAGGTACTACTTTAACCCAAACAGAATACTATATAAAATACATTATGTAAATACATCATGTTCTGGAACGAATACATGTCCTAAGTGTTCTGGCCCACCTTGTGAACAGGCCCAGTTTGGCTCAGTGAGTATTATGCTAGCTCTGTGTAAGTGTGAGGGATCAGGACAACAGGTGATTTTCAGCTGAAGCCGTGACCGGACTGTACGCGACCTCTGCCTCCCAGAAGTCCCGCTGCTGTGATAAACTAGTCTCGTGAGACACTGAAGCGCCCTCAGGGTCCAGCGGGATGAGCCGGAGTCATGGACGCCCCATGGCCAAACCAACAACGTGATGGCGTCTGCTTCCGCTGCTATGCCTGCAGCCAGATTTACTGTTGCCGTGGTCCGGCTCATGCAGTATCCCAATGATAAAAATACTACCAATTCAGCTTTATTTCCACTGCTTTGATCCATGGGTCGAGTGTCCCGCTGGGCCACCGTAAGCGTGTTTCCATATGGCCTGGATGTCTGCCGCTATATGCCTAAAGAGGGAGATGTCCATTTTGAGTTGGATCAGATGGAGGCAAAGAGATGTAAATATTGGCCTGTAGGATTCATGTAACGTCAGTCCTGGCAGGAAGTTGGATTGATTTAGTTCAGGTGGAAGTGGAAAGAGTCGACCCTGAATGAAATCTGCGTCTCTGCGCCATCATTCACTGTGCAGAGTTGTGTACGATTGTTGAGTGGAGGAATAAAAAATACACTTAGGAAAAATAAAATCCTGGATTTGATCAGCATGCTTCCACATAAGTGTGTACGCATGCTGTGGCGGTAAATAGCTAGACTCAATTTTCTCCGCTGGTGGTAGGAATGTGTGGAATTAGTTTAAACTGCCTAAGTCAGCCATAACACTGCGATTTTCATTACTTTGTTGAGTTTCTCTTGAAGCTCAATCTCCTTCCTCTACTCGCTTTTACTTTTATGTTGTCCATTATCAAGTGCTGGATTTAAAGAGAAAGTGTTAAAGACCCAGATATCAGAATGTGGTTAGTGTAAGAATGTGGTAAGTATAACCCAGAAGCAGGTGGTTGAGACCAGTACCACTCGTAATAACCTTCATAGAAATGTCACGTGTACATTTATCCACTGTCAGATCCATAACGTTTATCTTATCTCACACTAAAATAAGTAAAATAACATACATTTTGCTTCTTTTTTTTAAATAGCAAGTTTTGTTGCTGGACTTTTGTTTGTCATGTAAGATTATTTTACTAGTTTTAAGATAATACTTCATAATCTTGGAGAAAAAAGTCTAAGAAGTTAATTTTTTAGCTTGTTTTAGATATTTGTACTTCTTTCCGGACTTTTCTTGTTTAGATAAAATAAGTTTAGTTTATGATGCTATAATTTAAGAAAAAATTATAGCATCATATTAATTTAAAAAAAAAATAAATAAAGAAGTAAATAATACTTGAAATGTATGTATTTATACTATAATCAGTCATTTGGGGCTAGCATTATTATCCTGTTTTCTGAAATCTGGTCATACATACGGCAGATCATTTTTTTCTTATGTTATGCAGTATTTTACTTTTATTTCAAATCTTTCAAGGGATTTTTCCCCTGTGTCTCTTATCTAGTGACGTTTTCCAGTGAATACATGGAACCATAATCAACATGAACTTAGTTGTCTCAGTTGTGCCCTGTTTGGCCTCGGCTGAGGCTAAAATCATGACTTTACTCCGACACACAAAATGCATAGAAACCCAAAACCAATACTTTTTTATATGTTTTCCTACAACATACTGTATAACTTTTCTCCCCCAGGCCTCAGAACAACGGTAAATTCTGCGACGGCTCCAGTCGTCTGAACCAGCTCTGTAATCTCGCAGCCCGTGTCCTGCAAACGTGAAGCACAGGTGGACGTCCGACCCGCCCAGACAGTGCGCGACACGAGTACAACAGCATAACCCTTCCGTGGCTGGTTCTACAAGTGGAAGCCTTACACCAAAGTCGATGGTACGGGTTTTTACATTTCTTTTACTGACCTTCATGTCGGACTACTCAAATGATCTGTTTCTGTGTTTGCTTATTCCTCTTTTAAAGTAGCAATATGTAAGATTTTCATGTCAAGTTATCATTAAAGGGCACTAATCTGTCATCATTAAAGGGCCCTAACCTGTCATCATTAAAGGGCCCTAATCTGTCATGATTAAAGGGCACTAATCTGTCATCATTAAAGGGCCCCTAACCCTCCGTCAGCATTAAAGGGCCCTAATCGCTGTCATCATTAAAGGGCCCTAATCTGTCAGCATTAAAGGGCCCTAAGTCTGTCCGATCATTAAAGGGCCCCTAATCTGTCATCATTAAAGTGGCCCTAACCTGTCCAATCCATTTAAAGGGCCCAATACTAGTGCCCATCATTTAAAGGGCCCTTACTCTGTCATCAGTAAAGGGCCCTAAGTCTGGCAGCATTAAAGGGGCCCTAATCTGTCATCAGTAAAGGGCACCTAATCTGGCATCATTAAAGGGACCCTAATCTGTCAATCAATAAAGGGCCCTAATCTGTCATCATGAAAGGGCCCCTAATCTGTCAAAGGCATTGAATAAAACATCGCTTCTTTCCATTTATACTTTCTTTAACGGATAACAGTAGTCCAGAGTATATTTGAATTTCTAAATTAGTTTTTACAGCCGTCGCTTAAATCTGTTGTTCGATGTCCCGCCCACCACGTTTCACCAATCAGAAAGTCTGTGATGCCGTCGCAGGAACTCTCCGCGTGTGATACTAATCTCGCACTGGTAAAGTACCATGTGCACAGAACGAAAAAAGGTCTCGTTATTGATTCTCAAATCCTGTGATGACAAAACAGTAATGAATAAATAGTTTTGCTTTAAATATTCACAATAAATAAAATTAACACAATAGATTAAATTAATAAATAAATAAAAATCACTTTTTATCACTTGCTATTACAACTTACCCTAGTTTTAAAGCTGCACTAACTGACTTTGAGAAACATTCGAATCAGAACGCTGGCCTCGCTCTTTCTGCTCGCCCTCCCTGCACAGAGCTTTCACCCCCCCTCAGCCTGTGCTCACATGCTAATTGTTTACAGAGCTCACGTCTCACATGGATCTCACATTTGAACGTGGCGTGACCATAGAATGATAGAACCAGGAAGTGCGGAGGAACAAGACTTTCTTTTGTCTGTTTCTCTGAGTAAGCAGTAACCCGTAACAAAGACACAGAAGTTTCAGGTTCACCTCCGCCGCTTGTTTACCTCAGCTGTCTGTGCTAACCACAGACCTGTGGCTTTTCTCAAGAAAGTGGGGGCCAGTGGTCCGCTGTGATTGGTCACAATCTGGTCCCGAAACACATTCTCTTCCTCGTTTCACCAAAACTCGATCTAAAATAAAATGACACGCCAGCACAAATCTGCGCTACTTGTTCTTCAAAAGGACGTTTATCCCAATGCACTGCAGGGATATGGATTAGATTTTTCCTAATGAATACAAATATAAAGTCAGTTAGTGCAGCTTTAACCCATATCTGTGAGGGGCATATTCTAATTCTCATCAACAACATCAAAACCCCACCCTACCACCTACCTTTGAATGGTTTTCTTTCTTTGCAACACCAGTCACTGCTCTGACAGAGAAGAGAGCAGAGGAAGTCATCACTTAGTGTAATGTGCATGGCAGACGTGTAGCCACCTGCGCCCTGCGACACACTGGGGATGGATTTAAAAAGTAACCCTGGAGGCCGGCTTGGTTACACAGCGGAGGGCGAACGGTGAAGGAGAGCTGTGTGTTTGGCTCTCTTCCCAGCCCCGTTTAAGCTGTTGATGAATGTGAGGTGATGTAGAGAAGAACAGACTCTGAACTGCCTTCGGAGACCTTGGCCAAGTCACCTTCACCATCATTTATTTTAATCAAAGACGGCTGTAGAGGCTTGTCCGTGATAACTGATCTGAACTCCTGAATAAACTTGTTGCCCTACGAGGATTCTCAGGGGTGCCTTTGACGTCTGCTACTGTCGGTTCTCATTCCTGCTCAGCTATGGGCAGAATGCCACAGTGCAGTAGCTTGTTATGTCCTGGCGAGGAGAGCACGTCCATGTGTAGTTGCTGAGTGGCATTCCCATGTTTCCAGATGTTTCCTTGTGTCTGTGCAGATGAAGACGTATGTAAGCTTTACTGCATTGCCGAGGACTACGACTTTTTCTTCGCCATGTCCGGCAAAGTCAAAGATGGTACCGCCTGTTCGGAGCACAAAGGAGATGTGTGCATTGATGGAGCTTGTGAGGTTTGTCATTGTGTCATTGTTTTGTTTTTGTCATATTTGTGTATATAGTAGTAGCAGCAGTAGTAGTAATAATAATAATACATTGGTTTTATATAGCGCTTTTTGGACACTCAAAGACACTTTACATGTAACTATTCATTCACTCCATACACGGTGGTGATAAACAATGGGGGTGAAGTGTCTTGCCCAAGGACACAACGGCAGCAGACATCAGTAGGAGTCAAGAAAGTCTTGTGCTGGGCTCGAACCCACGACCTTCATGCTCAAAGGCCTTGGCTCTACCAACTGAGCCACTGTCGCCCAGTAATAGTAGTAGGAGGAGGAGGAGGAGGAGGAGGAGGAGGAGGAGGAGGAGGAGGAGGAGGAGGAGGAGGAGGAGGAGGAGGCCCCTAGGACCATCAGAGCACCATCAGAGACCCCTAGGACAATCAGAGCACCATCAGAGACCCCTAGGACAATCAGAGCACCATCAGAGACCCCTAGGACAATCAGAGCACCATCAGAGACCCCTAGGACCATAAGAGAACCATCAGAGACCCCTAGGACAATCAGAGTACCATCAGAGACCCCTAGGACCATCAGAGACCCCTAGGACCATCAGAGAACCATCAGAGACCCCTAGGACAATCAGAGCACCATCAGAGACCCCTAGGACAATCAGAGTACCATCAGAGACCCCTAGGACCATCAGAGAACCATCAGAGACCCCTAGGACAATCAGAGCACCATCAGAGACCCCTAGGACAATCAGAGTACTGTTACGACCCGTTTCAGCTAGGTGTGAGGAAGTAACAAAATAACCAAGATGGTAGAATGGTAACTAAAATCATAATTTATTTAGGTGACAAAGTAGGTAAAACAATAGGATTAATATCTACATAACACACAGTAAATAAATAACCTATTAAAACAAGTAAGCAATTGACAAAACCAAAAGTGTAACCTAAACTAAAGTGTCTCAACATAAACTAAACGAGTCACTGAACTAAGGGCACAAGTGACAGAACACAGACAAAACTAATGGCGACCTGGAGTCCACTGACTCCAGCTGCCCCGAGCCGCGGAAGATTGGCAGTTTATAAGGGCGGGTCCTCCAGGTGAGCGCACGCTGATTGGAGGCCTGCCTCAGCTGCTGCCCAATCAGCACCCAGGCATCGCGGTCAATCAGCTCCAGGTGGGGAATGACTGGCCAATAGGAGCCCAGGACTCACGAGCGTGATCTTCTGAAAAAAGGGAGGAAACACAACCACACAGAGACACCACGGGAGAAACTAAAGTAATCCCCAAAATAGGGAATTACGGGCCGTGGGCCGTAACAAGTACCATCAGAAATCTCTAGGACCATAGAAAAACAGTTAGTAACAGGACATAAAGGATATCAATTTATTTTCCATATTTCACTGCAAGAATAAATGTAAAATGTGTTTTTTCTAAATAATCCTATGACGTGTGGTGCACTGAGAGTTGCTATACTTTGTGATATTGCAAGCACATAATTAGCAGCTGAATCTCTGTTTGTGAGCAGGCCGTTGGCTGCGACCAGATGTTGGGTTCCAAGGCCTCGCTGGATGCTTGTGGGGTGTGTAAAGGTGACAACTCTTCGTGCAAGTTCTTCAAGGGCCAATACACGCTGCAGCACAGAGCTAACGGTGAGCAACTGTGGAAGCGTACGTTTCACTTGACGCAGGAGTACATTGAACCTGTCAGCTTATACAGAACACAGAAAGTAGACCGAGTGCGTCATGATACAAAGCAGCCATCATGCAGTCTAAATCACTTAAAGATGCAGTTAGCGATGTTGTTAGCTTAGCCGTAGCACCAACTCTAAACCACTCCCCCCTCCCCTCCCTCTCCACCAAACCAAACATCCAGCATTTTCTTTTCTTAGTCACAACAGAGAGAGTGGAGCAAACGTGAAATTGGCATTTTCTGTTCAGTCATTTTAGGTTTTAGAAAATCCGATAACTCCGGTGCAGTCTGAGAAACAGGAAGAGGGTGAAGGCGGTAAACACATCCCATTGGTTCGTTGGAGATGAACGGATCCCATTGGTTTGTTGTTATCGGTCTGCTCCAAAATATTTGTTATTAATTTTCTGGTAAATTCCATTACTATTACTATTAGAAAACACATGATGACTTGATACTTTTAGGGTTTAGGGACGTTTTCTCACAGTATTTAAAAAAATGCGTCTGGAAAAAAATCCCTGACTGTATCTTTAAATAAATATGCTCTTCATCTCGTTTGGACCAGAGTACTACTCCATGGTCACGGTCCCAGCTGGCTCTCGCAGCATCCGCATCCAGGAGAAGGAAGTGTCCACTAGTTATCTGGCAGCTCGCTCACTGAAGAGGAAGTACTACCTGACCGGAGACTGGACGGTGGACTGGCCCGGGAAGTTCCACTTTGCCGGGGCGGTGTTCGACTACCAGCGCTCTTTCAACAAGCCGGAGAGCCTGTACGCTGCTGGTCCGACTAATGAGACGCTGGTGTTTGAAGTAAGCCGCGAGTCTGTGGAGTGCTCTGTACTGTCCACTAACGACAATCCACTGTGACAGGCACCCCCCGCCGGGGCTGCCGTGCCTCTTCTTTATCTCTAAACATGACAAAGCTCAGATGAAAGGCCTCTGGGCCGGTGGGAAACCGTGTGCACTTTTAGTTGTCATGTTTCTGAAAAAGTATTCCAAATGCATGCTTGGATGTGGCGGATATACAAGTTTCAAAGTGGTGGTAGCTAAAACATGACAAAACTGATTGTGGAGGAATGATCATAAATAACACTCTTTTGCATGCTTTCTCGGGTTGTAAGTGCAAGTCTGTCTCTGTGCACGGCTTCACCATACACGGCAAAAATGATTTAATCAATTATCAAAATAATTGCTTGTTTTTTTTATTTTAATTTGAGTACATTCTGCCTGTCTTAAAACAAGGCCATTTTGTATTATTTTCATATTCCAGGGGAGACATTTCTTGTATTTTTTTAGATTTTAGATTCTTTAGCTTGTTCCATTGGCAAATCTTGTTTTAAGGCAGTCAGAATGGGGCTTTTTGCAGTATACTCCTATGTAAGTGGCCCGTGTTAAGGCCGTCTAAAAGTAACTTCCATATCTTCTTATTAACTTGAAGTTATATAGGAGAATTTTCTACGTCCGGGTGGATCATCAAGACTATTGGTCCTCCCAATTGTCAATCATTCTGGTGATACGTGCTCGTCCAATAAGAGCAGAGAGAGTTTTGTTCAAAAAGTGGGAGAGCGGCTGTTTCCTAAAATTTGGGAAAATCCTCCTTTATACCTAAGCGTGAACTCATCAGATCAAAATTTTGTTTAAGTTTGAAAATGTACTGTTTTTTTTCAAGCTGTTGTCGCTTTGATTTTCTGGTCTTCACGTTCTATTGAATGACCAAATGACCAAAAGTGTCTGTATTAGATGGAGTCGTACTCAGAGCAGCTATTGTCTATATAAAAAACTAACTTCCTCTCACATGGCCAACTTCCACAGGCCTCCTGTCGCCTCTAGTTTTATTCCTAACCTTATCACATGTCGGTGGTACATTCAAAAGCAAAAAGCCCGCGGCCACCAACCCGTCTCGCCATCTGATCTCCAGCCTCTTCATACTACTTTAAAGTTGACAGATACTCCATGTTTATAATTAGCACTGTCTCCAAAGCCAAAGGTTGAGAGGAAGGACAAGTCACCGTCCACGTCCCCTCAGGCAGGAGAATGTGATGGCGTCCAGCTGGCTTCTCCTCGCGGCACCAGGAGCACACGTGGGATCTTACCATAGACTGTAAATAATAACAGATGTAGTGACGCCTAGCTCTGCCGTTGAAACTAATGTGCCACCACTTTCACCGTCTGTGGGCTTTTTCTAAATGGCCACGAGGCAGGAACATTTGCAAAAACCAGTGGGGGCATGTCCCGGCTCCAAAAGGTCCATGAGTATGTGCGCTGATATACTATCTGACTCATAGCCGGTGGGGGTGTACCTGGAAAGAGAATTATCTACTTTTGTATGGGGTCTTCTTTCCTCTCAAAAACCTCTTTGCAGAATGGTCCAAAAGTTGGCTCTTGATCCAAGGCTAGGTTCCAGATCTGTGTCAATGCTGAGGGGAGTATTTTTTTTGGACCAGTCTAGTTTAGCCTCCATGGATTCTTGAATGCACTCGTTAAATGAACAGAGCTGGTGCTGGCTGACGCATGTGCAAATGCTTTTTTTTCATATTTTCTTGCGGTAGGGGCAGCCTGCAGCCATTTTGAAAAAGCCCCATAGAACCCAAAAGTGGTGGCACATTAGTTTCAACAGCGGAAATAGGCGTGGCTACATCTATTTATATTTACAGTCTATGGAACAACGACAGTGGCTCAGTGTGTAGAGCATTGGCCTTTGAGCCTGAAGGTCGTGGGTTCGAGCCCACCATAAGACCTACTTCACGACTCCCACTGATGACTGCTGTAGTTGTGTCCTTGGGCAAGACACTTAACCCCACTTTGCCTGAAGCCCCCACTGAAAGATCTCAGCTCCTGCAGGAGGATCAGTGAGGGGCTGGTGCTCTGTGTACTGGGTGCAGCTCTGACTGCCACCCCCCGACCCAGAAATGGATTAAGGGGAAGAAAATGGATGGATGGAAAAACGCATTTGCGCATGTGTTAGCCGGCATGAGCCCCATTCATTTAACGCATGCATTCAAAAGTCTACAGCGTCTTAACTAGACTGGTCCAAAAAAAAATACACCATTGACAGCATCTGGAACGTAGCGTCGGGCCAAGATCGACTTTTGGACCATCCTGTAAAGACCTTTTTGAGAGGAAAGAAGACGCCATACAAAAGCATTGGGTAATTCCCTTTCCGGGTACACCCCCACCGGCTCAGAGTGAGATTGCAGCATATCAGGGCACGTGCTCATGGACCTTTTGGAGCCGGGACCCGCCCCCACTGGATCTTACGCCTCATAACTTTGTCAGCACAAGCATTTTTCCACTGCTCTCTGAACTGGTGCATTGGAAACAGAAGTGGAAACCAGGTGAGGACCAGATACGTTTTTCAAGGAGCAGAAGCATGTCTCCTCTGTTAGGCCCTTGGGCAAAAGTGTAGTTACAGAGGGGATATTAAAGTGTAAATCTACAGCAGGAATACCGGCGTGTCCAAAATGTTTTACTTCTGACAGGCCTGCCCATCAGGAAATGTCTGTGTGTTTTTGTAACTATTTCAGAATAGACTAAGTAGTAGTTGGGGAAAAAGGCATCTGCTCTCCATTGTTCTTTTTTTTTCTTCTGAAACATCTGCATAGTTTTATATCTGGATGTGTATGGCTTACAGATAATCTGAAATGGAATAGTGGTTTTAAAGTTGTTTTAATTGAATAATAAGATAAACAGGCATTATAGTAAGGTAATGCTTTGTGGACATGAACATAGGATTTGGAACAATATTCTGATGGGAGGATTATTTATTATTATTTATTATGATTGTTAATTTGGTTGTGTTCTGACTTGGGTCAACCAGTAGCTCTCCACCCCCTTTCAGGTAGCTCAGGACTCAGGAATTTAACAAATGATTCTGAATGATGACATCGTGAGTCATTGCATATCTATTTTAGCTTTACATGTTTTAATTATGTGATGATAATGATAATAATAATGCATTGGTTTTATATAGAACTTTTCTGGACTTCTTCTTCTACTTCTACTTCTACTTCTTCTACTTCTACTTCTTCTTCTACTTCTACTTCTTCTACTTCTTCTTCTACTTCTACTTCTTCTTCTACTTCTTCTACTTCTACTTCTACTTCTACTTCTTCTACTTCTACTTCTTCTACTTCTACTTCTACTTCTTCTTCTTCTACTTCTACTTCTTCTACTTCTACTTCTACTTCTTCTACTTCTACTTCTTCTTCTACTTCTACTTCTTCTACTTCTTCTTCTACTTCTACTTCTTCTACTTCTTCTACTTCTTCTTCTACTTCTACTTCTTCTACTTCTACTTCTTCTACTTCTACTTCTTCTTCTACTTCTTCTACTTCTTCTACTTCTACTTCTTCTACTTCTACTTCTTCTACTTCTACTTCTACTTCTTCTTCTACTTCTACTTCTTCTACTTCTACTTCTTCTACTTCTACTTCTTCTTCTACTTCTACTTCTTCTACATCTTCTTCTACTTCTACTTCTACTTCTTCTACTTCTACTTCTACTTCTACTTCTTCTTCTACTTCTTCTACTTCTACTTCTACTTCTTCTTCTACTTCTACTTCTACTTCTTCTACTTCTACTTCTACTTCTTCTACTTCTTCTTCTACTTCTACTTCTACTTCTTCTACTTCTACTTCTACTTCTACTTCTTCTACTTCTACTTCTACTTCTACTTCTTCTACTTCTACTTCTACTTCTACTTCTTCTTCTTCTACTTCTACTTCTACTTCTTCTACTTCTACTTCTACTTCTTCTACTTCTTCTACTTCTACTTCTTCTACTTCTACTTCTACTTCTACTTCTACTTCTTTTACTTCTTCTTCTACTTCTACTTCTTCTACTTCTACTTCTACTTCTTCTTCTACTTCTACTTCTTCTTCTACTTCTACTTCTTCTTCTACTTCTACTTCTACTTCTTCTACTTCTTCTACTTCTTCTTCTACTTCTTCTACTTCTTCTTCTTCTTCTTCCAAACCCGTTGAGCGTCTGCCAGTGAGTCTTTCTGTAAAGACCTTTGCCTTAAGCTCTTGTGAAATCGACTGTAACATCAGTTTCCCATCGTGGCTGCGTGTGCGCCGCACATCTGTCCGGGTTAGCTCTGTCCGGGTTAGCTCTGTCCGGGTTAGCTCTGTCCGGGTTAGCTCTGTCCGGGTTAGCTCTGTCCGGGTTAGCTCTGTCCGGGTTAGCTCTGTCCGGGTTAGCTCTGTCCGGGTTAGCTCTGTCCGGGTTAGCTCTGTCCGGGTTAGCTCTGTCCGGGTTAGCTCTGTCCGGGTTAGCTCTGTCCGGGTTAGCTCTGTACGAGTCGCTCACGGCTGATCTAATCCCTGTAAGTATGTCTCATAATTACTGGAGGTTGATGGAGAGAGGAGGGTAGCGTGAGATTAAAAGATTAAGAATTCTGCAATCTCTATCACTAAAAAAATCCCTTGAAAAAAAAAATGAAAATTTGTAAAATACTGCTTAAAATAAGAAAAAATATCTGTAAATAGAAGAAAACATAACTTGACAAGATTTCTGAAAATAAAACTAGCCCCAAATGACTGGATTTTAGTATGAAAACACACATTTCATTGTTTAAATACTTACTATACATTAACATTTTGAGATTTTTTATACATTTTATACATATTTTATCTAAACAACAAGAAAAGTTGTCTGGAAATAAGAAAAAATACCTAAAACAAGTATTAAAAAGACTTAAAAAGGAGTATCATGGAGTATTAGGAGCCCGGACTCTGAGGAGCACAGGGACTGGCCTCCTGCTGGGACTCTGAGGAGCACAGGGACTGGACTCCTGCTGGGACTCTGAGGAGCACAGGGACTGGCCTCCTGCTGGGACTCTGAGGAGCACAGGGACTGGCCTCCTGCTGGGACTCTGAGGAGCATAGGGACTGGCCTCCTGCTGGGACTCTGAGGAGCACAGGGACTGGACTCCTGCTGGGACTCTGAGGAGCACAGGGACTGGACTCCTGCTGGGACTCTGAGGAGCACAGGGACTGGACTCCTGCTGGGACTCTGAGGAGCACAGGGACTGGACTCCTGCTGGGACTCTGAGGAGCACAGGGACTGGACTCCTGCTGGGACTCTGAGGAGCACAGGGACTGGACTCCTGCTGGGACTCTGAGGAGCACAGGGACTGGCCTCCTGCTGGGACTCTGAGGAGCACAGGGACTGGACTCCTGCTGGGACTCTGAGGAGCACAGGGACTGGACTCCTGCTGGGACTCTGAGGAGCACAGGGACTGGCCTCCTGCTGGGACTCTGAGGAGCACAGGGACTGGACTCCTGCTGGGACTCTGAGGAGCACAGGGACTGGACTCCTGCTGGGACTCTGAGGAGCACAGGGACTGGACTCCTGCTGGGACTCTGAGGAGCACAGGGACTGGACTCCTGCTGGGACTCTGAGGAGCACAGGGACTGGCCTCCTGTTAGTGCCCAGAGTCAGAACTAAACATGGGGAGGCTGCTTTTCAGATTCATGCTGCTAAAATCTGGAACAGTCTTCCTGAAGATGTGAGACAGGCCTCCTCTCTGACAATGTTTAAAACCAGGTTAAAGACAGTTCTGTTTAACTGTGCTACAACTGAGGGATTTTATATTTTTATCTTTTTTTAATGTACTGTGATTATTTATGATTTTAATGCTTTCTTGTTTTGTTCAGCACTTTGAATTGCCTTGTGTATGAATTGTGCTATATAAATAAACTTGCCTTGCCTTGCCTTGCCTATTATTATGTTAAAACTAGTAAAATAATCTTACATCCAGCCATTTTCTTCCCCTTAATCCATGTCTGGGTCAGGGGGGTGGCAGTCAGAGCCCCAGCCTCACTGATCCTCCTGCAGGAGCTGAGTCCACAGGAGCTGAGATCTTTCAGTGGGGGCTTCAGGCAAAGTGGGGTTAAGTGTCTTGCCCAAGGACACAACGGCAGCAGTCAACAGTGGGAGTCATGAAGTAGGTGGTGGGCTTGAACCCATGCCCTTCAGACCCAAAGGCCAATGCTCTACACACTGAGCCACTGTTGCCCCGATGAATAAATAATATTATATGAAACCATTATTATCTTATTATTATTTTCTTCTTCTTCTGCTGCTGCTCTTGACCGTCTCTCTGTCCTGCTGATCTTAAACTAACTCCGTCTGTCAGAAAGCAGCCGCCGGAGCACACGGCCCGGGACACGACCCGGGACACGGTTCTGATCGCTCCCAGACGCAGCTTGAACCACTCTTAGAAAAACAAATGCTGGAGCAGTTGAGCATAAACTGTGACAAGGTGTCCACCTCGCTGCTTGTAGAAGGAGTAGCTACACTGCAAAAAATGATCAAATATGAGATAATAATTGCTTGAATCGAGTTGTTTTTTTATCTTAATTTAAGTTCTTTCTGACTGTCTTAAAACGAGATTTGCCAATGAGACAAGCAATTTTGACTTGACTCAAGAACTATTGCTTTATTTTCTCATTCCAAGAGAGAAATGTCTTGTATCTTTTTAAAACAATATATTTTTTCTTGTTCCACTGGCAAATCTTGTTTTAAGGCAGTCAAAATGTGCTCAAATTTAGAAACATTCAGCAAAATTTGAGTACTTTTTGTCTTTAATTCCATAATTTTTTGCAGTGTAACAGGAGCGGGGGAGTCCGGGGGGGTGTGGGGGGGTTCAGACACGACATATGGCCACTTTCGAGGCAGCTTTAATGGACATTCTTGCGGTATGAAGCCAAGGGGTCATGCCAGTCCAGGGGTAGACATTCTCGCGGCCACAAAACAGACCAATATCTGCGTTCCCATTTCTCATTCGACTCGACGAGCGATGTAGTGAAAACCAGGACTCGCTGGGCCCATCCTACAGATAAGAAAAGCTGAATTATAATTTCCATTTTTGGGTCTATAACCATTGTGTGTAACGCTTGTGCAAGAGTCGGTGCAGAACTTTGTGTGGAGTTTGTTCGGACATGTTCAAGGCTTCCCAGTGTTGTATTTGGTTTTAGTGTTTCGTTGTTAGACTAGGAATAAGATTTAGTTGGTTTGGTCCCAGACTGACAAACGGACTGTGGACATGTTTGGATGTGTAATTCATTTGAAAGATATCTGTGATTTATGTCGTGGTTGTGTAGATGTGATGAAAAGGCTTGTGTTTGAACGGTAAATGGAGAATTTGTGGTGAAATGGGATGGATTTGTACATGGCCTCTCTTAGCTGTAATGTCCACTACAGAACGCACTGTTATTGCTAATCTGTCCCTAGCCCTGTAACATAATCTAACACATATATTTAAAACATATCAGAGGTAAACCTACATCCTATTTTACACAGTGGATAAAACTTGAAAGCCAAAAAGCCAAAAACCCAAACCCACCAGTTTTTTCAGGAATGTGATGAGAAACAGACAAAAGGCGGAACCCTGGAACTTTATTAGAGATAGAGGACTTCTCAAATCTATAACAGAAGAAGAAGAATGTCCTTTATTCCTCCCACAATGGGAACATTTCAGTTTGATGCATACACATACATACTGTATACATATACTGTACATATAATACAAATTCACATCAAGGCAAGCAGCGAACATCACTTCCGCGCTCCTTATAGGCAAAGTTTAGGGTTAAGTGTCTTGCCCAACGACACAACAACAGCAGGCATCAGTGGGAGTCGTGGAGAAGGTCTCGTGGTGGACTCAAAACCATGACCTTCGGGTTCAAAGGCCAATGCTCTGCCAACTGAGCCACTGACTCTGAACTGAACTAAATAAAAGAAAAACATGTAAGAAAACATGATAGAAAGCCAGGTCCCTGTATAGAAAGTGTTCTGCTTCTTTTGCAGCTAAAGGGTCGATTGGCAATGGGTTATTGCAGGCATGTCCCAACTCAGGCCCGGGGGCCATTTGTGGCCCTCAGTGTCATTGTATGTGGCCCTCTGCCTCGCTAACCCAAAGTAGTCTATAAGATCATAAACATAAGTTCACTGTGTCATCCATCCAACTCCAGCTCAGACATATGGACATGTCGTACCTCTTTCTAAAGCCCAGTACGTCTGGAATTCAGTCCTTGACTTTATTGGTCCATACTGTACCGACGTGGCTTTTAATTGTGTCACAAACATCCGTTAATGGTGCTACTGTAGCTGGTGAGACAGTCAACATGTGTCATTCAGCCAACTTCAGCTCTGTTATAGATCATTTTAAAGCTCAGGACAGCCTGATGCCAGTCAAGACATTTTTTCAATCCGTGATGTCGGCCCCTGGACTAGTCTGGTGAACTAAAGTGGCCCTCTTACTAATATATTTGGACACTCCTGGGTTAATGCCACATGAGTTGGAGTTTGAAGCTTATTTCCGACACTTGTACAATTTTACACATTGTTACGGGACATTTACAGCAGAAAGAAAGAACGAAAAGGCGTTGGCTAAAGCTAATGCTAATGTTGCTACCCTCTTTACAAGTCCAATTATTATTATTAGTGACTGTATACAATAGAATTTACATAGGCAAGGCAAGTTTATTTGTATAGCACAATTCATACACAAGGCAACTCAAAGTGCTGAACAAGATAGCATTAAAATCATAAAGATAAAAATATAAAATCCCTCAGTTGTAGCACAGCTAAACAGAACTGTTTTTAACCTGGTTTTAAACATTGTCAGAGAGGAGGCCTGTCTCACATCTTCAGGAAGACTGTTCCAGATTTTAGCAGCATGAATCTGAAAAGCAGCCTCCCCATGTTTAGTTCTGACTCTGGGCACTAACAGGAGTCCAGTCCCTGTGCTCCTCAGAGTCCCAGCAGGAGTCCAGTCCCTGTGCTCCTCAGAGTCCCAGCAGGAGTCCAGTCCCTGTGCTCCTCAGAGTCCCAGCAGGAGTCCAGTCCCTGTGCTCCTCAGAGTCCCAGCAGGAGTCCAGTCCCTGTGCTCCTCAGAGTCCCAGCAGGAGTCCAGTCCCTGTGCTCCTCAGAGTCCGGGCTGGTTCATATGGGACTAACATGTCACTAATATATTTTGGTGCGAGGCCATGGAGAGACTTGTAACAAGCAGAGCTGTTTTAAAGTCTATTCTCTGAGCCACAGGAAGCCAGTGCAGAGACCTGAGGACTGGACTAATGTGGTCGTACTTCCTGGTTCTAGTCAGGACTAATGTGGTCGTACTTCCTGGTTCTAGTCAGGACTAATGTGGTCGTACTTCCTGGTTCTAGTCAGGACCAATGTGGTCGTACTTCCTGGTTCTAGTCAGGACTAATATGGTCGTACTTCCTGGTTCTAGTCAGGACTAATGTGGTCGTACTTCCTGGTTCTAGTCAGGACTAATGTGGTCGTACTTCCTGGTTCTTGTCAGGACTAATGTGGTCGTACTTCCTGGTTCTAGTCAGGACTAATAAGGTCGTACTTCCTGGTTCTAGTCAGGACTAATGTGGTCGTACTTCCTGGTTCTTGTCAGGACTAATGTGGTCGTACTTCCTGGTTCTTGTCAGGACTAATGTGGTCGTACTTCCTGGTTCTAGTCAGGACTAATGTGGTCGTACTTCCTGGTTCTAGTCAGGACTAATGTGGTCGTACTTCCTGGTTCTAGTCAGGACTAATGTGGTTGGTCCGATACAGCTCTGACTGCAGACGCTGCTCCCTCTTTACCACACAACGGTCGTACTTCGATACAGCTCTGACTGCAGACGCTGCTCCCTCTTTACCACAACGGTCCGATACAGCTCTGACTGCAGACGCTGCTCCCTCTTTACCACAACGGTCCGATACAGCGACCACATCACTGCGCACGCTGCACCGATCCGCCTGTCAATCTCACGCTCCATCCTTCCCTCACTCGTGAACAAGACCCCGAGATACTTGAACTCCTCCACTTGAGGAAGGACCTCTCCACCCACCTGCAGAGGGCAAGGCACCTTTTTCCGGTCGAGCACCATGGCCTCAGATTTGGAGGTGCTGATTCTCATCCCAGCCGCTTCACACTCTGGGTACAGTGTATATATATATATATATATTTTTTTTTCTTTACACTATTCTTTATTGCGTTTTTAAACATAATTCCCACATTCACACAGAAATATGGAAGAAAAGAAAAGAAGAGAATAAAAAAACTTAAGAATAATAAAATTCAAAAAGATGAAAAAAGCAGGGCCGTTCTGAGTGGAGTTTACATGTTCTCCCCGTGTCTGCATAGGTTTCCTCCGGGTGCTGCGGTTTCCCCTACCACCAGAAATATGTGCAATAGTTCTGTGACCTCACTCCCATCTCTGAGTGAAGTGAGAAAGAAAAATAACGATTACTTACTTTCTTATTTATCTCAACAATTACACCCCTATAGTATAACCGCAGAAAGCCTATGATGATGATGATGATGATGATGATGAAGCATATGATGTCATCTGAACGAAATAAACCTCCTTGGAGTTTGTTGACCCCCCTCAGATCACACCTCGCAGCTTCTCCGTCTTCCTCTTTAAAGCCATTCCCCTGCACTCATCTCAAATCTCCGCCTGTTGAAAGAGTTCTTGCCAAGAAAGAACATTTCATCTGATGCCCGTAGACAATGACTGGAGACGGTTCTAACGGCGAGGCCAGTTCTCTTTGCTCGTGAAATTAGTGCTGAGTAAGCGACTTAAGCGTGAATGCCGGTTTACTTGCTTTTGCTTTTATAGTGTGTGTTATATTTGGTCTATAAAAGCCGCATTTATAATTGATTAATCTGCCAACTCATCCTCGATCTGAGTGATTACACCTGTACCCATATGGAAAACATGCACAGATATTAGATAAAAGTCTGAGAGGACTGGCTTGAAATGTATAAATTACACATAATAATAATAATGCATCAAACTTATATAGCATTTTTTTGGACACTCAAAGACGCTTTACAAAACACGTAGAAATAAACATTGAAAAACAAAATTAAGGAAAGGCAAGATGAAACAGGTGGGTTTTTAGGAGAGATTTAAAGTTCTGTAGTGAGTCAGAGTTTCTGATTGGTTGAGGGAGTGAGTTCCAGAGAGTGGGGGCAGCTGCGGCGAAGGCTCGGTCCCCCAGGGTTTGGTGTTTAGTCCTGAGGGGAGTGAGGAGGTTGGAGTCCGTGGATCTGAGGCGGCGGGAGGGACAGTGATGATGGAGGAGGTCGGTGAGGTCAGAGGGGGCCAGGTCACACATGACAGTCAAACAGCATACACATAAACGATACATGGAAAACATTCTATAAACATTCTATAAAAAATAATGTCAGATTTGTTTTAATATTATGGATAGTGCTTGGACCGTCAAATCCAACACAACGAACCTAGTGCTCCCCAAGGTTTCTCACTTTTTCCCACTGGGTTTTTTAAGAGTTGTTCCTTGTGGATGCAGGAGGGTCTTGTTGGACAGTTAGTGTCCAACAGAAAGGATTGGTGATGATCAGGACACTTTAGCATTCTACAACATGTATGGACATTTTCTTCTGTGTGTGCTTTATATTCTTCATGTGTTTTAACTGTTGATTCTCTGACCTGTGTTGGTGATTTCAATGGTTTTGTTAAGTCCTCTGAGATGACTTCTGTTGTGACCTAGGGCTATACAAGAATAAATTGTATTGTATTGTATTGTATTGTCATAGTAATATTTTCTATGTTGAATTGAATGTGGGAAAGAAAAATGTTGAAAATGTGTGTAATTGTGTAAGGTTTGTTTGTGTTTTATAACTAACCCTTGAGATAAAACACAACTCAAAATCGAGTTACATTTTTACTTTAGGCCTATTTTCAAATTATGCAAAAACTGTGTTCAATTTGTATGTATTTTTTCTAAATATGAAAGATGTGTAAAAGATGCCACTTTAAGGAAATAATCACACAAACGTCATTTCAAGTGTTATATTTGTTTTATTGTGTTCAACTTTTCTATCTGGGTACATATATAGTTTCGCTCTACTGCAAAAAGTAATGAAAAACAAGCCAAAAAAGCTCAGTTTCTCAGCGAAAAGGGGCTGGTTGGAACAGGGCCTTCTGAGTGGAGTTTGCATGTTCTCCCTGTGTCTGCGTAGATTTCCTCCAGGGGCTCCGGTTTCCCCTACCACTGAAAACATGTGCAATAGTTCTGTCATAAGTAAGATTACTTTCTTACTTATTTACTTAAATAGTTATACACCCTTATACCACAAAAAGGGATAAAAGCTTAATTTTAGCACATGTTGACTGCTTTTAAACAAGATTTGCAAATGAGGCAAGTAGGGATGTACCGATCCGATATTCAGTATCGGTATCGGGGCCGATACGGGTATTTTGTAAGGATCGGATAATATCGTATTTGTTAAATATCGGGGAGTTTACCTTTACAGAGTTCACACACTGGTTAAGTACTGGCTCTTTGTGGTCATTCAGTTATGTACCAGCTCTTTTCCTTTTGTCATACTGAATGTTTAGGGCCGCTTTTTGATGAATGTTCGTCTTTGATATTTCTTTTATATCAAGTTTATTTTGGTGAAATATTAAGGTTAAATATTCAATACTGATGTGATTGTTACCTATGACTTAACTCAGTAGGTCTGTTAAGGAAAAGCCAAACAATATTTTTGATCATGTTATGAAAAAAAAAAACATTTTAAAGTTATACTTGTTGCAAAATTTGTAATGCTTTGAAAATATTATAAAAAATTGGATCGGTATCGGCAAAACAATATTTATATCGGAATATATCGCATTACAAGAAATCTGGATCGGTACATCCCTAGAGACAAGCAACATTTTCTTGTTTCAAAAGATACAATAAATGTCTCTCTTAGAATGAGAAGATAAAGCAACAATTCTTGAAATAACACTAAATGGCTTTGTCCCATTTGAAAATTGTGTTTTAAGACAGTCTGAATGTGCTCAAATTAAGATAAAAACCACTCGATTCTCACCTAATGTTTTATCACTTTTTGCCGTTTTTTTCCTGAAAATAACCACAATCAAAGCACTCACATTAATCAGTGTTTTGCCCAAGGACACAACTGTACCGACTGCTGCTAGCTTGCGGTCACTGAGCGAAACCCCCACATGATAAAGCGTACTGAAGAGAGTTGTGTTTGTGTTTTCTGTCACCCTCATCTGAATGGGTTCTCTGAGGTTTTCTGTCTCCCCGGGGCAGCAGCCATCACTCACGCCTTCACCTTCCTCCACACACTGTTCATAAATCATATATTTACTGTGCATTATCTTTTCAGCTCCACCCGAACAAGTGTCTCCTATTTATGTATTTAATTATGTTACAATTTGAACAAGGGCGGACAAACAAGGCGGGACATTATGACCTTTTTTGTGCTATAATGATGGTTTTCAGGTTTGTGTGTGTCGTAGCAGTATTAGCATTAGCAGTAGTAGTAGTATTAGCAGTAGCAGTAGTAGCAGTAGCAGCAGTAGCATTAGCAGTAGTAGCAGTAGTAGCAGTAGCATTAGCAGTAGCAGTAGTAGCAGTAGCAGTAGTAGCAGTAGTAGCATTAGCAGTAGCAGTAGCAGTAGTAGCATTAGCAGCAGTAGCAGTAGTAGCAGTAGCAGTAGCAGTAGTAGCAGTAGCAGCAGTAGCAGCAAGCAGAGTAGCAGCAGTAGCAGTAGTAGTAGCAGTAGCAGAGCAGCAGTAGCAGCAGTAGCAGTAGTAGTAGCAGTAGTAGCAGTAGCAGTAGCAGTAGTAGCAGTATAGCAGCAGTAGCAGCAGTAGCAGTAGCAGCAGTAGTAGTAGTAGCAGTAGCAGCAGCAGCAGCAGTAGCAGCAGTAGCAGTAGTAGTAGTAGCAGTAGTAGCAGCAGTAGCAGCAGTAGCAGTAGCAGCAGTAGTAGTAGTAGCAGTAGCAGCAGTAGCAGCAGCAGCAGCAGTAGCAGCAGTAGCAGTAGTAGTAGCAGTAGCAGCAGCAGTAGCAGTAGCAGCAGTAGTAGTAGTAGCAGTAGTAGCAGTAGCAGTAGCATCAGCAGCAGCAGTAGCAGCAGTAGCAGTAGCAGCAGTAGTAGTAGCAGCAGTAGTAGTAGTAGCAGTAGTAGCAGTAGCAGTAGCATCAGCAGCAGCAGTAGCAGCAGTAGCAGTAGCAGCAGTAGTAGTAGCAGCAGTAGTAGTAGTAGCAGTAGTAGCAGTAGCAGTAGTAGCAGTAGCAGCAGTAGTAGTAGTAGCAGTAGTAGCAGTAGCAGTAGTAGCAGTAGCATCAGCAGCAGCAGTAGCAGCAGTAGCAGTAGCAGCAGTAGTAGTAGCAGCAGTAGTAGTAGTAGCAGTAGTAGCAGTAGCAGTAGCAGCAGCAGCAGCAGTAGCAGCAGTAGCAGTAGCAGCAGTAGTAGTAGCAGCAGTAGCAGCAGTAGCAGTAGTAGCAGTAGCAGCAGTAGTAGTAGGAGCATTAGCAGTAGCTGCAGTAGTAGCAGTAGTAGCAATAGCAGCAGTAGTAGCAGTAGCAGTAGCCTTAATAGTATTAGCATCAGCAGCAGTCGTGGTAGTAGCAGTAGTATTAGCATTAGCAGTAGTATTAGCATTAGCAGTAGTAGTCGTAGTCGTAGTAGCAGTAGGAGTAGAAGTAAGCATTATTGTTTAGTCCTGGATGTATAAGTGGTTATAATATTTTTTTCACACACACGGAAAACCTTGATAAAAATAATACTCCTAGTGGTATTTATACTGCACTTTTTTGTCATCAGAACCATGATAGTACTTTTCCATGTATCTGTACATTTTGTTTTTTGGATCAGATTACACAAGCCTCAAGGCGCCCTATAGATGTAAACGTCTATTTTGGAAGAGGGAGGGTGCACCACGTGTTGCCATGGAGATGAGTGTTTCACAGTATGGCATCAAAGCCACTTCACCGGCATCTTTTTGCTGCATTTCATGGATCTGAATCTGCATTTTTTTGTGTGCAAAATATGTGTGTATGTGTGTAAATATATCCCAATAGACTTTGTGATAACTCAACAAAAACATTTTATTTTTTCTTTTGGGTCCTGACTGCGACGTGGTATCTAATTGTCAAACAAAAAAATGTCTGACCATGTAATAAAATCCATCTAGCTACTGTAGTTCCACTCAAGACACACTAGTTTTCTCCCACCGTGTATTGTTTGGCCTTTGTCACAGCCTTAGATCATCTTTTCAGACAGAATATATACAAAATTAGAGGACCACCCACACTCAGCCAATCAGCTCTCAGCTCTAAGTGTGAAATGGTGACTCACATGGTGCTTGTGATTAAGGGCAACAGAGTGGTTGAGTGGTTAGCCCTATTGCTTCTCGGTTCAAATCCTGGTCGGAACTGGGTCTGTCTGAGCGGAGTTTGCATGTTCTCCCCGTGCACTATAATTTATTGGGGGGGGGGGGGGGGGGGGGAAGGAGTGCCCCTAGCTTTAAAATCCCATTCTTCCAAAACGCAACGAAGACACAGCCATGTATTTTCCGCTTCACCTACGAATTTTTTTTGCCAAAGCCGTGCCTCGGTGGGTCTGCATCCTGCCCCCCTCCCCTGTTGGGTGTGCCTCGGTGGGTCTGCATCCTGCCCCCCTCCCCTGTTGGGTGTGCCTCGGTGGGTCTGCATCCTGCCCCCCTCCCCTGTTGGGTGTGCCTCGGTGGGTCTGCATCCTGCCCCCCTCCCCTGTTGGGTGTGCCTCGGTGGGTCTGCATCCTGCCCCCCTCCCCTGTTGGGTGTGCCTCGGTGGGTCTGCATCCTGCCCCCCTCCCCTGTTGGGTGTGCCTCCCCAGGTTTACGGCCTCTCCCTCCATCACCGCGGCTTCTCTCCTTCATGCAGTCGTGAGTCAGAGCCGAGCTGCCGAGCGGAATATTAAATCTACAGCTCAGACAGACACGGCTTCCCCCTTTTTACAGAACCGCTTTCTCGCATGCATTCATTCACCTGGCCGAGCCGCCCCCCTCCCTCGCAACACGTTTGATTTTGTTCCCGACAGCTGTGGAGTCGATTTTGCACAAAAAAATACCGCCTTAAATGAACCAAATGTTTTACAAATGATTGCTTTTGCGCCCCCAAATGTCAGCCCTTTCCCGTCTGTGAGCCCGGCTATCTTAATAACTCATTGTTTTGATAATCGATTAGTTGCTTGATTGTTTTTTGAATTAATAAATTGGTTGTTTAGACACCATAAGGTCCGTAAATATGGGATTTTGTTTTCATTTTCACAAAACAAAGCTTAAGCGATGCCCCCAAGAGATGCTTTACAGTCTATGCTTGTTACACATTGGGCTGTTTGATTAAAATTCCTTTGTAAAACCATAAATCCATAAAATGTTATTATTAAACACAATTCATTCTGGGCTTTACAAAGACGTGATACTACAGTACACACAATTATGAAACTCAATTTTAGAATTAAAACTCACAGTTTCAGTGTCTCTAGAAATCACTAATCCACCTTGAACTGTAGCACTTTGTCATTTTGTCAGTTTTTCTTTTGGATTTAAGTCTGGACTTTGACTTTGTTTTGTTGCCGATTTAGCAGGTTTTTTCCCCCAAAATGTCCCTGTAATCGGCTCAATTCATCTTCCAAGCATTTCTTACAATCTTCCCTGACCCCTACTGAAGAAAAGCAGCCCCACCATGTTTGACCCTGGGGATGGTGCACTCAGGGAGGTGAGCAGAGTCAGGTTTGCGCCATGAATACTGTTTTGCACTTGGGCCAAAAAGTTACATTATTGGTGTCTGACTTATTGTGAGAATTAAAACTTAGTCATATGCTCAGTTACTGTAAATAACTTTAACAATGCAAGATTTGAGCCCTTTTGTACGTCTTTAGGTAGACTTTTCGAGATTCTAGGGGAGATGAATCTTGCCTTGCTTTCCTGTGCTCCTCAGAACCCAAGTTAGATCACAATTATCCATGTGTTTAAATGAGAATGTCCCAAAAGCTTTATGAGTATATAATTTTACCTTCTAAAACATGAAATGACAACGTAAACAGCCTAATTGTGATTTTTAATAACCAAAAATAATGCAGAATATGTATTATTTAAGTCTGTGAAAGGTTGAAACGGTACTAAATGAGTCATCAACAGTGGGGGAGGGTCCCAGCTCAAAAGTGGCCAAAATAATGTGCGCTGACATGCTGCAATACCACCCCGGGCCTGTGGGGGTGGACCCAGAAGTAGAATTAGCCAATGCTAACATATAGCATTGGCAGACCTCTCGTCTTTACAGGAAGGACCAAAAGTTGGCTCTTGGCCTAAAGCTCCGTTCCACATGTGTGTCAATGCTGAGGGGGGTGCATTTTTTTTGGTCCACTCTAGTTTACTTGCTGTGAATTTTTGAAGTCTCTCGTTCAAATGAAATGGAGCTGCGCCGGCTGACGCATGCGCAGATGCGTTTTTTCACCATTTTCTTGTGGGCGGGACCACTCGCGGCCATTTTGGATTGCTCCAGTAGAGCACTTTTTTTGGCCCATTAGTTAGAACGGCAGAGATAGGCGTGACTCTGTCTGTTAAATATACAGTCTATGGTCATCAATCAATTTTGATAATGGATTAGTTGCATTGAATCAAATATCTAGTTGCAGCCCTAAATCCAAAGTGTGATTGACAGCAGGGTTTGTAGTTAATTTCCTCTTTCCATTGCCCCACAGTGAGAGACGTCTGAACACAAAGCTTATCTGGCTCTTTTTGCAGAGCGTGCATAAGAAAAGTGTTGAAATGAAAAGGCTTGTGTTTACATGTAGCACCCAAAAAACATTTAATCATCTAATCTCTCGCTGGTTATTAACTCGTTGCCTCTGGAGACTCTTTAAATTAGCCTCATTCTCTTATCTTTTGTACCGCAGCATCAGGTTTTCACATTTAAATACTAAATTGCTTCTGAGCGGCTCTGTCTCACCGCCACAATCTAGTTTTATGAGTGTGAAAGGAGGTTTTATGAGAACCATCTTAAGCACCTAAAGAATAAAGCGTTTTGGAATTTTCTGGGTTTGTATGATATAATTCACTATTAAAGGATTTTTTCGGTTTTTGTGATGTGTGTTTAGGGACAGTGGAGCAAAAACATATTATTGATTGATTGATACTAACTTAAAGGTATTTAGCAGGATTTTATACTTCCAGGTGGATCGTTAAGACTTTTGGTCCTCCCAACTGTCAATCATTCTGGTGATACGTGCTCGTTCCAAAAGTGGAGAGGGCGGTTCTCTCCTAAAATTTTAGAAAATCCTCCTTTATCTTTTAAAGTAGCAATATGTAAGATTTTCATGTTAAGTCATCATTAAAGGGCCCTAATCTGTCAAAAGGCATTAATTAAACAGTTCAGATTTAGTTTTCCAGCCCCTAAATCTTGTTATTGTTTTCATTTCGATGTCACACCATGTGGAGCTAATCTCACTGGTAAAGTACCATGTGGAGCTAATCTCACTGGTAAAGTACCATGTGGAGCTAATCTCACTGGTAAAGTACTATGGGAAACTCTCAAAGATCTATGGGAAACTCTCAAAGGTCTATGGGAAACTCTCAAAGAATCTATGAGAAACTCTCAAAGATCTATGGGAAACTCTCAAAGATCTATGGGAAACTCTCAAAGATCTATGGGAAACTCTCAAAGATCTATGGGAAACTCTCAAAGATCTATGGGAAACTCTCAAAGATCTATGGGAAACTCTCAAAGGTCTATGAGAAACTCTCAAAGATCTATGGGAAACTCTCAAAGATCTATGGGAAACTCTCAAAGGTCTATGGGAAACTCTCAAAGATCTATGAGAAACTCTCAAAGATCTATGGGAAACTCTCAAAGATCTATGGGAAACTCTCAAAGATCTATGGGAAACTCTCAAAGATCTATGGGAAACTCTCAAAGATCTATGGGAAACTCTCAAAGATCTATGGGAAACTCTCAAAGGTCTATGGGAAACTCTCAAAGATCTATGGGAAACTCTCAAAGATCTATGGGAAACTCTCAAAGATCTATGGGAAACTCTCAAAGATCTATGGGAAACTCTCCTGTATTTGGGCATCGTCTGGTCCTCCTGGTTCTGTGCAGTGGATGATCTCCCATAATGCGTTGCGCCAAACACGCGTGTGTGGGTCTCACACCGGGTCTCACGCACGTGCACAGAGGGTCTCATGCACGTGCACAGAGGGTCTCATGCACGTGCACAGAGGGGCTCGGCTCTGACCAATCAGAGCAGTTCATCAGAGCGGGAGTTAGAGCCAGAGCCAGAGGAGCAGAGTTTGTGGCACTAAAGTGTGGATTTAAACAAAACCGAAGGATTTAAGAAGAAAAAAAGTTCAGGATGACAAGGGACACTAACATCCCCACAAAATCCGATCTTTATTAAAGCTGTAGGTTCTCTGTCAGGTTCTCTGTCAGCTGAGGTCGAGCTGTTTTAATATGCATTGAGTTCTATGGGGAAAATTTCTGGGTAGCCCACGTGAATTTAGTCTGGTTCAGTCTGCAGTACCGCGAGAATCCCCTGAGCACGTGAGTTATTCAGCTACAAGCTGTAATACCCTATCCAGTTATTATAATACATCCATGGACCTGACGTCTGCAAGTTGGACCTGACGTCAGCAGCCCCCCGCCCAGAGCAATGTAAACGGCCCAGTCTCGTTCACGCCCCCTTTAGTCCTCCAGGCTACGCCCATTTAGAGGAAGATTTGAACAGGAAATGTGAGTAACGTAAGCTCCGAGGAGCGGGGGTGAGAACCACTTTAAGGCTAAGACTGTAAGCCACTTACTTAGGCCCTGTCCACACGAAGTCAAGCTCAGGCCTAAACGCAAAAATACTTTATCAATCCAGTGTATCGTCCATACGAGGCCGGCGTTTTGGGGGGGTGTAAACGAACATTTTTGAAACCAGGTCCCAGAGTGGAAAGATTTCAAAACTCCGTATATGCCGCTCCGTGGTTACTGCCTCTCCCCAATGTATCTGAGACGCTTGCGTCATCGCCCCGCCTCTTGTTAAAGCACGCATGCGCCGCACTCAGAAAATAATGACAACAACAATGTAGCTTGTTGGTTTTGTAATCCAGTGCGACCCGAAGCAACAGTTCAACCTCATCGTCCGTCCATACTAATGTAGTACCAGCTCGCCCACTCGCCATGTTGTCTGTTTACTAAATTCTGCGCATGCCCAGTTCCCGTCACGGAAGTTTGGGCTTGATCCCGTCATTGCGTCACAGCGCCACCAACAGGTCTGGCATAGTTTCACAGCGTTTTCAGGCGTATTGACTACATTCATATGGACGCACACATTTACTGAGCTAACTCCGTGTTTACAGAAAAAGTTTCTGAAATTATAAGCGTTTTGTCTTCGTGTGGATATAGCCTAAATGATCTTTTTCTTATGCTTTTTTAACGCTCAGTCACCAGGCTTAACCCTTTGAAGTTCACTCCTTGCAATTTTTCACAATCCAGTTTTTCATTTTTGTAAGCTGTATTCATTGATATTTTCCTTCCAATGTGACTGTAAAATATTTGTAACTAAAAAAATCACACAGACGTTTATGGTCATGATATTCCTTGTTATGCACTGCCATCTTGAGGATGACTGAGGTACTGCTGTGACCAAGGACGTCAAACTGTGTAAGAATCTTTGGAAGCACAAACACACGACTCTTGGTGAAGCTGAGGCTCATAGTTTGGCCTCTGGTGACTCATTTACTCTAATTATAAGTGGGAACATTATCTGCTCAGAGAAAGATCAAGTTATATTTCTGTAGTAAATAGGAGGGTATAACTGGGGTCCGGGGATATGATCTTTTTAAAGGAGCAATATGTAAGATTTTCATATCAAGTCATCATTAAAGGGCCCTAATCTGTCATCATTAAAGGGCCCTCATCTGTCATCATCAAAGG